ACAATTTTGTATTTTTCGTTGAACTAAACCGAGGCCCTGAAATAAATTTATTCGGTTTGTAAATTCCAACGGAGGGCGGGTAACGAATAGCTTTCCTGACCCGCGAACAAAACTGGACTTTAGGTTTCCTCTGATTTATATTGTCTAGAGTTATACCGGCAGAGATAGCGGCTTTAAGCCGGTTTCGATGGAATCTGATCGAAATTCAAGACGCGTAACTTGCACACATTGCCAAATTAAATAAAAAGTTCAGATTTAAACAGCACTTCGCGGTGAAATCCGAGTTATAACCAGTTCCAGGGAGTCTTTTCAAACTGGTTTCAGACAAGCAAAATAAAAAATTTCACCGGGGAAGTGGTGTAAGAGGTTGTATGTATGTGTGTGTGTTTTTATATTTTACATGATGAATAATATGAACCCATTAGAGAAGCTTTTAGCTTCCAGTAGCTTAACGTACAGCGGTTATGCCTTTTTTTTCGTTGAGTGTAGAAACCTACTTTTTTTATTCATTGAATTTCCGGAAGCATCTCTTTCGATGAATTTTTCCTGACAGATATAATATTTTTTATCAACTGCATGCAGTTTAACGATCTTAAAATATGACATAAGTATGCAATAAATATTGCATACTTGTTCTGATTTTCTGCAAGAATTGAAAAGCTTCTGAAGTAAGAGCCTCATTAGTTCATAATTTCAACACTCATGAAACCGGATCGGTTTGAGGCCAATGCTTGGAGTAAACGTAATCGGAGCTTTATTTCCTAAGCATCCACGCTGATCCACCAAAGAAAAAGAACCTGTCCTTAATTCACATCTTTGGGGTAGCGTATTTATGACGCGCTAATGGTCCAGTAATCCCATGACAGGTTTTGCAACCGTTAATTCGACTTAAAAGCACTTTTAATTTATGAGTAGAGGGTATTAAAATTTTTAATTGTTATGTTTCTTTTGCGACCTAAAAGCTTTTCTTATTTATGTCTTTTTAAGGAAGTTTCCGTGTACAATTTTTAGAATCCGTAAAATATAAATTTATGCTCGGTAAGTAAAATATCAGGGGCTCTCCTCTCATGTTTTATGCATCTATTTATTGTTAAACTTTTCGCGGTAATGAACGGATCCGACGCGGTAAAAGCGTGAAATTTTCCCAAGCCCAGAGGTGTTTAAGCGGGTCCTCTTTGAATTTTATTGCAGTGCAAATCTTTAATTTAATTTTTATTTACTCTTTGCTATTAATTACAAATTTCCCCAGACTAAAGTAACCGTTGCGTAACCTTTTAAAAATAATGACAGTTTGACATGGTTCGAGTGGGTGTTCTTTGTGTAGGTTCATCTGCAATCTGATTACAGTTAATTAGTTTAGACGCCATATATAGCCAGACTGCTATTATTAACGTATAAACCACAGTTTGCGGGGAAGCTTAAATTTTCTACAAAGACTGAAATGTATTTCTTTGTGTGTTTGAAAGATCTTCGTATAAATTATTAAATCAATGAAATAAGATTTTTACTCTGGAGTTGGTACGGGATAAGCCAACTAAACAGTAATTTACTTAGCGTGCTTCAAAGGCAGTTGCATATTGTGTATAATTTAGAAACAAGTGCAAGGTGCTTTTATCGCTAAATCCCACGTTTTCCGGAGGATTATGCCATAAGCAATGAAATTATTTTACATTATTCATCCTCCCTCGTCCGTAAGGTGAATCTAGTCGGTCGTAAATCCGACTGTTTTACTACCAGCAAGTCTGAATCGTGAATTTTTGTTATTGTTGAAATCTTTCTTTCTCCACCAACACCTCTGTCAGAGATTTATCTCTCGAAAATTTGGGTGCCTTTTCCATCCAATATTAACAGTCACTCCCTTTCGGGTGGCTTTCTTCGTTGACATTTTTTACAAACGTAACATACTGGATGAATATTTCCTATATTCTGAGGAAGTGAATGTAAGTAACCACCACATCGTCCTTCTGGATTCTGTGTTTGAATAATAGCTCGGCTCGTTAACTAAACCTTTCACATAAACGCTGCTGACTACGCTATCTTTCCTACGTCGGGTGATACTGCGACGTTGGATTACATCTATATTTCATAATGACACCGTGGGCAAGAACCACTGTTGACATTAGCTACACAAGTCTCAATTCTTTAAAAAAAAACGTTTATTGGTATCTATTTATTGATTAGAAAAGCGAATTATTTTTGTTTTAAGATGTAAGAATAGTTACAAACAATAGAAGTCACTAACATATTACTTAGTTGCTGAGAAAAATCAAAACCTTGTAAAGTAACTAGTAAATTAAACCAAAATTCTCGATTATTTGTTGTTCATCTTCATAAAAAAGTTTTGCTCTCTTTGAACCAGTTGCTATTTTTTCCATTTATTCGTGGGTGTAAGAACTGGGAAAGTAGTGTTTCTTCTTTACATTAACTTCTGTTGAATGTTTTTAGGATTGTCGAAGGATTTCAAGTGGAATTCTAATAAATTATGAAATAATTTATTACAAATTATTCGTGTTTAATTAAATTTGCAAATTATACTTTATTCAAAAAATGTCTATAAATTCGGCATCATTTCATAAATACCGTCACTTTCCTAAAGAAAATGTTTTGTGCAAGAATTCTTTTCTAATGAGATTTTGGTAGTTTGAATAAATTAATTGGTTTAAAGAAAAAAGGTGTTTGATTTTTATTTACATTCTAAGAATAACGAATTACAAAACTAGTAGGAAAGTATATATTCAAAAGTTGTTTTCATAAGGATTTTTCTGTTTTTTTCTGTTTTCTAAGATTTTTCTGTTTTAATTTTATAATTTCATTTCATAGGACTCTTCAAAACTTAGAAAACACTGATAATTGATTAGTGTCCTTGGATTTCTCTGGATTTCATCTAAAAGATTTTTTTCTGAATAATTTACTTACACTTATTGTCTTTTTTGAAAAAACGACTTTTTGTCACGCCTAACGAATAAAAAAGTATAAGCTGAACTCTTTAGTTTCAAGAGCACCTTTTTTTGTTTCTGATTTTGCTTTACTGTTTTTGTAAGAGAATTAAAACCAAAAAGGTAAGAGATATGTCGCAAAGCAATGTTAAGAAGACTGCTTAAATAATTATATGAATAAAATTTTAGTTAGGTACTTTATGTCTTTATAGTCTTTTTAAATTTTAACCAACTCACCAGTAATAACTATAAAAAGATTTGTTGATGAAAGGAAGGTATGAGCTTCTTTGAGATTTTCTATATTTTTGTAGAGGTGTCGCTTACAATATTAAACTACAGTTTGAAGTCTTAGATTTAATACGCAAAGTTTACAGCGAACTGGTTGCAAGTCTTAAGCCGGTATAATATCTCTTATGCACGTGAAACGCTTTCGGAGCTTTACCATAGCCTCTCGTGTTCCGCTCACCTGAAGAGATCCGTCGGGTGTCTGATAGGTGGATCCGCCATCAATCAATTGGTCATATCCGGAGCTTTCAGGAAATGAACCGACCAGACGAACCGCTTTCAGCTTTCGTCGCCGCCTTTTTTCTGTCCATTACTCAAGCTCTCCCTTTGCGAATTTGTACATAACCACGACTATATTACCACTTTGATGATTTCGACCGAAGTATGAGCAGCCTTTTGGTTCTCTCCCCACGAAGCAAACTCATCTTGAACGTTAAATTGAATGTGACATGTCTCGTTTACGTTTAAAAATTGAAAAAGCACAAATGACAGTTAAGTTGACGTAGAAGGCATGCGATGCGGGGGCACTTACCTACTCCGGAAGCTCCCTAGGCACTCTCGACTACTAAACTTCACAGCGAAATTGTATCAGATAGTGTGCATCTAAAGTCTATATGGAGTGCTTGTCTGGTGCAGTTTCGCATTTCACCTGCATTATACCCGGATTCTTCCGCCGTGAAGAATTTTAATTAACATTTATTTCAGGCGTTCCATGCATACTGAAAAATCTCAGCGGATTTCCTTGACGTTCCGAAAACAGACAAGCATTGTCTGCAAATCGATGATAGAATTGCAGATTTTTTTCTAAGAATGAAGTTTATCGTTCAACGAATTTTTAAACTAGAAAAGGCAAATATAATTTGAGGGCTTTTTTACATAAATTTTCTCTCGGGTTTCTTTGAAGTCTTCGTGTTTTGCAAAATATTTACTCAGAATATGTTCCGCGTCAAACTCGATAAAAGAGCAGCTGCTATATACATGCATAGAGTACTTAAACGTCAAATATAATACGTATGTGGATAGGGAAAAATCTCGTCTTGTTTTAAACTTGCCTAATTATCTAGTCGAGGAGGGTTATTGACCTAACTCGGAAAATTATTTCAAGCATTTTTTAAAACATCTTCATCCTTTGATGAATTTTTTAATGTTAAGAGTGTGTATTCTGCAAAAAAAACTTTTCTGAAAATTTTCCTACAGCATTTTTTTTTTATTATTTGAGCCATAGCTTTTAATGGGAATTAAGCTAGGACTACTATTATCCTATCCCCTGTGGTAAAAAGTCCGTCAATTCGCCATTTTACTGCCATGACGTTTAAATTATGAAAAATTCGTTAAATTCAGTGCATTTATAGTGCGTTTGGGCCGAGTCATAAATCCAGGACCGAACCGAATTAAATATAAAATTTTACTGTGTTTGGAACCTTCGTACAAGCTTCACGTATCGAATTAGGTCCGTTTCGATTTCGTTGCAAGTTTAATGTTATCGGAACAGACGTATGTACACCAGCTTACATTGGCCAGCAAATTCGTGTAAATACCACCACACACGATCGAAGCATTAAATTGTTCGATCTGTGTGGGTAATATCGCACAAGGCCCACCGCTACTAAGCCGGCAATAAATTCCCCCGTAAATCTATAATTTACGCTTTGATTTACGCGCATTCTGAATGCCTATGGAAATTTGTTAATAGATTAAAAGGGATCACGTGGCCGCTTTATTACAGCTTACGTCGTCAAACCAAAACCTGTCGTTTAAACGTCTTCTTTGTTTTTGCAGCCGACAAACTGCCGCCGGGCTTCCCCCAAATCACTCAGTCGCCCACCACCAACAAGGTCGTCGAAATCGGGCACAAAGCTGTTCTGTCGTGCGCCGCCACTGGTAATCCGCCGCCCAAGATCACGTGGTTGAAGAACATGTTGCCCATCAACAGCTCCACCAGCCCACGGTACACCATCAGGGACGAAATGCCAGGTAAAACCGGTAATTGAGGGAACAGTCGATCTCTCGGGAAATCAAAACGGTGTCGCACGATTTTAATATGGCAGCTGCTGGAAGAAGGAAAAACGAAAACGGAGTCATTCACTTGCAAAGCTTGTCGACGAAAGCTCATCTTTCACAACTTTCCACCTCCAATCTGAGAGCAGCTGCACACTCTGCATACATGCAGCACAAAAGCTCGCCCACTTTTTACACTTTCGAAAGATTTTACCTATAACCCAAATAACTAGAATTTATTTACCATTGTTGGAGGATTCAATCGATAATCGCCAGTCAATTGTTATAGTCACGTTGCAAATACACGAACATTTACAATGCTGCAAGTGAAATCATTGGCTATCGTCTCGTTTGATAATTTTAGTGCTTACAGGAATACAAGTTGTAACGAAAAGATGGGGACAAAGAGTAACCTGAGATTTCTCAAGTCAAAATAAAGCGATTTAACCCAACTTACCTCTAGAGCAAGTTGCACCGTTTAAAAATTACAGGGCGCCAAAGTTCAAAAATTATTTTTGTTTTTCTTTAATTTCTTTCGTAATCGATTTTTATAAAATTTGGCAGACAACTTGGTATCAAAACCACATGTTTTGGTGCTATTTCTTTTATTTTATTACTATTGAAAAGTACTTACCTATTAACAATTCAACACATTTTAAGCCATATTTTTGTTATACGTAATCTGATTGGCGTAATTCTTTTTTATTCGAAAGGTTTTTAAACAATTTTTGTATCGGCCTTGGTTTTGAAGTAAAAAAAATATTTAAGTAGACGTGTCAATACTTTGGACATTAGCCATTTATTGTTATTGCTTATAAAATTGTATTAATAGTTACTTTGTTACAAGTACCTAACACCGTTGCGGACATAGCAGATGAGTCCGCAAAAACGTTTTTGGTACGTGTTACATTCAAAAATTTTTTGCTAAACTCTCAAAAAACGATATCACACTTTTTATTAATTAAAAAAAATTCGCCACCATAGTGGCCAAATTGATTTTTTCGTCCGGAAAAACTGTTTTTGGGGACTGAGTACCTAAAATAACCATATTGAGTTTAGAAAAGACTCATTTTAGGGACTCAAATGAGTCTCTAAAACAGCTATTTTTGGGATTATATACAAAATAGCAATTTATGTATCAAGTAGGCAAAATAGGGTTTTAGGGGACGAATCGTAATTAATGACGAGGCGACGTAGGATCCGAGTCTTTAATAAGAGGAGTCACCTAAAACCTTTTGCGTACGTGGTGCATACAAGATTTTTTTATTAAAGCTCCCAAAACAGGAATTCACACCTCTTACTAATTACCATAGTAACCAATTTTATTTTTTTGTCCGCAAAAACTGTTTTTGGAAACTGAGTACCTAAAATAACCGTTTTGCGTACTATTTTATTGAGTCCGGAAAAGACCCATTTTAGGGATTCAAATGAGTCCCTAAAACAGCTGTTTTCGGGAGCGTATACAAAAAATTATATTTTTGCGCACTAATGTGTAAAAATAACAGACAATTACTACGAGTATGTTGTCAAACATCACCAAATGGATGTCATTTAGAAACCTTACGTGTTATTCATCTCGATTTCAGTCTCGGTGGTCAATATTCAGGTCGCGTGTTTCAAATTCTTATTACACAAATACCTAATTATTTTAAAATTGGAAAATCAATTAGGGGTGGGATTGAAATAGAAAATAATTACTATTACAGACCATAATTATCATGTTGAAGTTTTTGGAAGTAATTTTTAGGCTACCTTTTTTACGATAATTCGAAATCGCAATATCACTTTGAGTCTTGAGAATTTCTCTTTTTATAAATGCAGATAGATGCAGCATCGGTTGCAGCGAAACGTAATATAAGCTACACGTTTACCCGGCTTGCATATTGATTCAGCCAAGCAGGAATAAGGAATATCCGCAAACGAACCACAACAAAAACTCTTCGGCGTTAAGCTCTGATCTATCCCAGGAATAATGCTTACGCCTCACACAATAACAGCTTTTATATGATTTGACGGGTTTTTTTGCCGCTCTCCTATTCACTGTACTCGTAATTACGTAAAGGTATCCCGCAAGGAAATCCGCCACATCAATAACAAATGTCGCGAACGAGGGAAAAATTACGTGAGGTCGACTCATTTCATGCACTCTTGGTTGCCACATCATAATCAGTTCTGTGCAAACGATAAATTCGAATCTCAACCGTCTTGTTACTATCCTATTAGGGGGTATTTAACGGTTTCAAGCGTTTCGGAATGGGATGCTATCTTACGAAGATCACTAAAGCACGTTTCTGGAATTTTAGAAGCCTCTTTGTTATCTGTTCGTATTTTGTGTGCTCGAACTAATCGAGTGTCCGGTTCACGTGTTTGGTGGAACTCCCCAGACGAATCGCTTTCCCCAGGGACCATTAGTTCCACTGACGGGAGGACTATAGCGAATCATCTCGGCCACTCAACTAGGATCTACATTATGCCCAGTGTGAATACGAATTGCTAGATTTTAGAATAAATTTAAAAGTATTTAATGTGTTTTATCGTAATAAATTAAGACCTTAATTGATGTGGGCATTCAAAATCACCCTATTTATAATATCAATGAGTTTCGAGCCAAAATCACAAAAAAGTCCAGTTATTTTACAAGGCCAATAAATTTTATAATTAACCATACTATAATTACCATCTTCTTCATCTGCTTCTACTGTATCTTGTATATTTTTCAACCTAAAAAAAAAACTCAAAACAATGGTTTTAGTTTCCCTTTTGTTTTGGGTCTGCCCCCACACTTGTGTGAAAGGAATTTGTATCTAGTTTCTTTACACATTTTCCAAATTTGGCGAATAAATGAAAAATTCCAGTGCAAAGGATTTTGCAACTCCGTATAAAAAGTAATTTCTCTGCTTGTTGTCCTGAAAGAATTATCCAACATAATTGGTTTATAATTTTTCAAACTTTATCTTTCAGGTACCCTCCAAATCAGAGATAGTGAAGAAAAAGACCAAGGCAAGTACGAGTGCATGGCGGAAAACGCGATCGGCACCGACTACTCCAAGTCAGCTCAACTTTACGTCAAAGGTTTGTTTTGTTTTATTAGAAGATAATGTTTTAAAAATGTTATTTTGTAGTGCGTCGTGTTTCTCCTCAATTTTCGATACCTCCTGCGCCGTTAAATGAAGTGATGTTAGGTGCTAGTCTGAACCTGACTTGTGTGGCCGTAGGATCGCCAATGCCTTTCGTCAAGTGGCGTAAAGGCCTCACTCAGGACCTAACTCCTGAAGACAAGTTACCCATTGGGAAGAACACTTTGCAACTAACTAATATTCAAGAGTCTGCTAATTATACTTGTATAGCCGCTAGCGTGTTGGGGGTTATCGATGCTGTTGCTCAGGTCAAAGTACAATGTGAGTATTCCGTCCAAGTTTGAGATGTTGACTATTGATTTGGCGCGAATTTAGCATTACCGGGACCACTTATCAATGTTAGAGCGTCAGAAATCACAGCGACTTCCGTTCGGTTGACTTGGTCCTACAACGGACCGGAGGATCTTCAGTATTACGTCATTCAATTTAAGCCAAAATATGCCAATCAAGCCTTCAGCGAAATATCAGGAATCATTACCATGTATTATACGATTAGAAGCCTTAGTCCCTACACCGAATACGAAATGTACGTCATTGCCGTCAACAATATAGGCAGAGGGCCTCCAAGTGCGCCGGAGTTTGTTACCACAGGAGAAACAGGTAATTTCCTCCGGATTCATTAAATTCCGACTGTATTGCAACCACTTGTTCCGTTTCTGTCACTCCGCAAACAAATTGGGACAGAAACGAAGCAACGGTTTGATTATTGTATCTAAAAGAAGGTACCCTTTTCATCCATCACGCGACTGTTAGAAAGATGATGACAGTAAACGTGTCTTAATCCACCCATAAATTTCGTTTTCTTTCACCCTACTGTTTATCATTTTCATGCAAACAACCATTTTTCATATGGATTTTGTGCCTATGCCTAATGTAAGTTTTTTTCAGATTTTTGTGTGCATTTTTTACACGACTAGAGTAGTTTTTCACTCACGCCTTTTGGTACTCTCTAGCAATAGCATTTTGTAAAATCTCTACCAAACGCGTCTTTATCGGCCACTGTAATTGTTCTTTTTTTCTGTTTTAGCTGAAACGTCTTTTGGAGGTGCCAGTAAGTTAAATGTACACAATAAATAATAAGTGGCGTCATTTGTGTAACAAACTTGCTCATTTTTGTTGTTTCTTTCGGTTAAATCGTTTTTTAATTTAATTTTTAAGTATGCATTTACACTTATTTCCTTATCTAAGTAAACTAAATTTCAGAACCCGGATCGTCACCACGAAACGTTCAAGTTCGACCATTAAGTTCCAGTACCATGGTCATTCAATGGGACGAGCCGGAAACGGCAAACGGCCAAGTTACCGTAAGTTTTTTCATCTGCAAAGTACTTATTTTTCTAAATTACGAATTAATTATATCAATTTAGTCTTAACAAAATCAGCAATAAATACATACCAGGTGAATAAAAAGTATGGAACCAAGCGTTTTTTTCGTAAACTAAGCACTTTACAAAAAAATAATTAGTGTAGCGTAAACTCCAATTAAAATGTGACCATTTATCAAGAATAACATTTTTCGAAATTTCTTTTAGTTTTAGTTTTTTTTTTTAAATGGCAACCCACTATGGTAATTTTTTAATTAAAGATAATGATCTAAAAATGACCTCTAATTAAACAGAATTGTTTTCTAGTCAGTACTTTTTTTTAATAAATTGTTAAAGTTGCGTTCCGAGAGCCCATCACGAAGATTTTCCGTACTTGAACGTGGGAGTCGTTTCATGACTTTGGTCGTTGGAGAGTCCGGTTTTTGGTGCAGGTGCTTTGGGGTGGTTCCGGATGGATCAAAAAATGTAAAAACAAATCATTTTCTTCTATTTTTAGTCGATTCGAAACCACCCCAAAGCACCTGCATAGAAATCAAGGCTCTCCCATGATGAAAAGCATGAAACAACCACTTCGGTTAAGTTCGGAAAATCTTCGTGATGAGCTCGGAACGCAACTTTAACAATTAATTTTAAAAAAGTACTGCCTAAAAAACAATTTTATTTCATTAGAGGTCATTTTTAGATCATAATCTTTAATTAAAAAATTACCATGGTGGGTTGTCATTTAAAAAAAATTTTTTTTCAGAACTCGAAAACTAAAAGAAATTTCGGAAAATGTTATTCTTGATAAATGGTCACATTTTAATTGTACTTTACGGTACACTAATTATTTTTTTCGTAAAGTGCTTAGTTTACGAAAAAAACGCTTGGTTCCATACTTTTTATTCACCTGGTAGCTGTGAACTTGTAAGCCATTGACTTATTATTGCTTATTTTTTGTCAGTTTTTTATGATTTACTTCAATTAATTAAGACTTTCAAACAAACTAGAAATGAGACATAAATCGCGGGTTGTTAATTTACAAACGGTTTTATTAGTCTTTGACAAAAAAATCCAATAATTAATTTCTTGGTTGTTTTAAATTTTTATAAGTTATTTCTAGATATAAGCAAATAATTATTCAGTACATAAAAGTTTATCTGATAATTATAATTTTTTGTTGTGATAATAAATAAGATATTAGCTCGAAAGTTACAGGAAATGGTGATATTTTTATTAATGTGATTAAGTAGAATACAAAGGAAATTTAGAAATACTCGTGTATGTCAACTCGTTAACAAAATACAGACCACCAGATTAGATAAAAAAAGAAAACTAAGAAAAAGTAGAAAATTGAGTTGTTTGGTTGTTCTAAGATTGTATCTAGTGGTTGTTTTAACCCACATTTTATTTATCATCACTAGGGATACAAAGTATACTACACGACCAACTCCCAACTCCCGATGGCCCAGTGGGAATCCCAAGTCGTCGACAACAATCAACTAACAACAATCAGCGAACTAACTCCTCATACTATCTACACGATCCGCGTCCAGGCCTTCACTTCGGTGGGACCTGGCCCGCTCAGTGCCCCCGTCCACGTCAAAACGCAACAAGGTGCGACTTTTTTCTTCATTTAAATGCTCTAACATGATCTGTTCAGGCGTACCAAGTCAACCGAGCAACCTGATGGCGTCAGATATCGGTGAAACCTCCGTCACATTACAATGGAGTAAACCGACGCATTCCGGGGAAAACATCGTCAATTATGAACTCTATTGGAATGACACATACGCCAAAGAGAAACACCATCGACGCATACCTATCACCGAATCGTACACATTGACGGGACTTTACCCAAACACTCTGTATTACGTGTGGTTGGCGGCAAGATCGCAGCGCGGGGAGGGCGCCACCACACCCCCGATACCAGTCAGAACCAAACAGTACGGTAAGAGAATCCGGTCAGGGGCGGTTTGTGAGCCAAGGGTGATTTTGATTTTTGGAGTATTTTTGTGTTGCAACACAGCGTTTGCAATAAGAACACATGTAGTTTTTGATGGGGGAGGGGGGCCGATATTGCTGCAATTAACGCGTTTGAGTCGTGTTGTCGATGATGACACGGCCTGAACTCGTCAATTTCAGACTTGAGACTAATATTGCATTGTTTTAAAAATGCGATTGATCGGAACTAACGTTCCAGAAGTGTGTAAGTTTACTAAAACTATTTGAATTAATGCCGTTGTGGATGCGTGATGGATGAGTGTTTTATTTTTCCTGTGGAATTGCATTTGCATGCCAGTAACTAGTTGTCAGTGGATATTAATTTGTTAATGAGCACTGCACAAAGTAATGCTATGCCGTTTTTTTTTAATAACTATGTGCAATTGAGCACCGTTCACTTGTTTAATTTGTTCAAGTTTCTTTTACATTTATTCTAGTATTGTTTTGAGTTTTACCGTTTCATTTGACGTGTATCTATCAGGTAGTGAAAATTTTTATTTTAATATCCACTTGTTGTCATTTTTCATGATTTTTGATTAAGAGAGTCATAATAAGTAACAGTAAAAACTAGGCTATAAGCTTTTGGCTTAAGTTAACACGCTAACGCCACCGTAGTACCGGGCGCTCCGCCCAGCAACGTTACCGGTGAGGCGGTAAGTCCGACTGCCATCCGAGTCACCTGGGAGCCACCGCTTGCTAACCGCAGTCATGGAAACATTATATACTACAAGCTGCAGTATGTCGAAGCAGATAGATCAGATAGCGAAGCTATAGAAGTTAAAATGAACGCTACTAGTTTTGTGCTTGACGAACTTAAAAGATGGACCACTTACCGAATTTGGGTCCTGGCTGGCACCTCAGTCGGGGACGGACCCAGCTCATTCCCGATCACCGTGCGAACCCATGAAGATGGTACGTTTCAGTTTTTGATTCCATCTAACTATTATAAGAACGGTGATGTTTAAAAAATAAGATATTTATGACTTGAGGCGGGACGAGAATGGGGCGCCGAAACGTTACGAAGACGGGCGTGCCGAACTCGTTCCTCCCCGATTATAATAAATGTGTTACCACAATTGACAGCTTACGAAAGAGGAGTTAGTGTAAAACAATAAACATATTGTGATTCCGAGAACAGCGACGCTCTTGTCTACAGTGTTGTCAACGAATTCCGGTGCCACCGCACAAATCTTAAACACCTTCTTTTATTGTAAAGTAATTTTGTTTTTTTTTGTATGGTGGCGCTTGAATTTACGACGCCTTGATCCCTCAATACCTCATCAAATTTTCCCTTTTTTATTTTTCTGTGATTTTTCGTTATGATTTGCAGGGGACGGTTGTCGTCCTCCTGGCCTTCTAGTTGTAGTTTTTGATAAGATTTTTGACATATCCTTAGTGATATGTGTGACTTAACCATTTTTTAACCATTGCAGCCCGCCCAGGAAGGATTTTTTGAAGCTGGTTTTGTGAATTTTTGTGATTTTTTACAGCATATTTTTGAGACCTCACGTGAACCTCAATAGTGTAGTGAACTAACTTTATTATGAGACAAAATTTATTTTTAATGTTTTTTCTTCTGTCTACAAAAGCGTTTGCAGGAGCTGAATTAAAGAGGTTTTTCCGACGAATTTTTTCAATAACTGTTTTTTCGGTTTTTCTAAAAATTTCTAGTTGATAATTGTGTTTATTTTATTATTATTTTTTGAATTGTTTTGTTTTGAATCGTTTTGTTCGATTTTTTCGTTCCTTGTTGTTATTGTTTTAGCTACTCACGTTCACATGTAATGATTGCTTATTGATTTTCATTCGCACAGAGTTGCATTGCAATGGCACATTTTTTGAGTCACAATCGGCACTGTTTTGTTTTTATATAATTATATATGAGTATTAATTTTTTTAGTTGATTTCGTGCACCGTTTTCGTAATTTAGTAACACACCACCTAGCATGCTGGTGACAATCCCTCACCTTCCCATTAATTTCCTTCGACGGAGATAACAAATTCCGATTCCTTCATCTCCCAATTCCTTGTCTATCGCTAGGCAGCACCTCACTCTCACAAGTAGGTGACATGCGCACTTTAATATGGCACATTTATATCACATTTCACTGTGTGTAAACTACACTTGCACCATTTTTTGTGTGTGATTGTATGATTGAGTATTAATACTGATGCTAAAAGGAAAAAATAACCAACTAAACGCCATAGTTGTAGCTTTTACTTACCTATCTGGAGTAGAAATCTCGGCTGAAATAAAAATTTCTACTCCACGAAGATTACTGTTATGTTTGAGCGAGCTAACAAAAGTGAGTCAATATGCAATTTTTTTTCTGGAGCCACGACCAAGTCTGGTTTTGGCTCGCTTCTCGATTTTCAGGCACAGCTTGGAATTGTCACATTTGAATACCAATACTTAACACTACTCGTAGACCGTAGGAGAATAATAGTGATGCAATGGGCATGCTATATTTTGACATTATATCTGGTATCTGCTCTAACGATTTAGCCGATTTTTTATTTCTTTGGTTTAAGTACAACTTTTGGTGCATGAAGAAGCAGAAGAAATTTTTGCAAAGAAATTTGACTTCATCTCAAAGTGTGTGCAAGTGAAACGACACAACCAACAACTAACATTGTGACAAATAGTTGGACACGATTTTTTCAACACAGTTTTTTATTGCGACGATTTGAATCCACACATCCTTACAATTTTTTTGACCATCCGGCTTTCCCCCGTGATGTTTTATCATCGAATAAAAGATAATTTTTGAGATTTTTTTAATCAATACATGTGTGTGAGTATTTTTTTCTATTTTTCACGAACCTCCAAGCATTTTTGTAGCGGAGATAGATTTTTCTTATTTTTGTATACAGTTTACATGTTTGAATTTTGATGGTTATAATAGTGTTGTAACACTTTTACAATTACTATTTTTTTCTGACTTTTTTGCATTACTCGGTCCACAGATATCAGTGAGTATTTTTCTCTGTTGTGTGCTAGTAGTGAATTTTTTATTTATCATTAGAAAATTTGAGTAGAATATTTTGAGGCTTTTGATTTAGGCGAATCGGAAAATGACCATAAATTAATGCTAGTTTTAGAAAAAAATGTTCATTTTTCGATTTTTTTATTATTTCCCTTCAAGCAGCACCGGGACGAGTATACACAATAAAAACTTTTTCTATTTTCCGCTGATAAATGTGTAGATAAAATTTATAGTAGGTTCTTGTGTTCCATTAATCCGTCTGGATGAGGTAATTATTCAACGATATTTCGTGTGTTGGTATTCAAATGTTTTAGGAAGTTTTATGGGTTTTTGTTTTACTGTTTATTTGATTTTTGTTGTGTTTCGACCAAGAGTGAGTGAGAAAAGCAAACAATCGAAAAATTAAGATAAACAAGTGCCTGCATGCCATAAATAAGTTCTTTGTAGTTCTTACTTCACAGTATCTTAATCGCTCTTAATTTCACAGTGCCCGGCAACCCAGAAGACGTAAAAGTCACCCCAATAAATTCCACTACAATCAAAGTCGAATGGAAACCGCCCCATCCTAAAGAACGCAACGGCATTATTCTGGGTTACCATGTCCACGTCCAGGAAACCAAAGAAGAAGTACAGTTTTTGATCACTTTTTGAGAGTCGCCTTCTGCAGGCAATTACTGAATTGACTCTCCTTTTCATAACCCTCAGACGGCGACTCTGCTCTAATCCCATATCGAGCGATAATTTCACCCTCTTAAATTTCCACAGGGTAAAAACTTCCTCAACGATCCGATGAAGTTTGATGTTTTTGGAGACGCCGTTTTGGAACATAACGTATCGGGATTACAGCCTGATACTACCTACGCCGTTCAAGTGGCGGCACTGACAAGAAAAGGGGACGGAGACAGGAGTCCTCCGGTCAATGTGCGAACTCCCGGAGGAGTCCCCAATAGACCCGCCTTGACCATAAAGTAAGTTCGGGTGTATTTGAGTATTGATCGGGTAATTTCTTTGATTTAAGGATTATCGAACGGGAACCCACGGTTACGATAGAGTTGGAGTGGACTAGACCCTCGCAAACTTACGGCGAATTAAAGGGATACAGACTGAGATTTGGGGTGAAGGACCAAAAATTGAAAGATGTCAATCTCAAAGGTACGGCAAGCATGCTTTTCATTTTTCACATTTTCCTTATAGCACAAACTTCGAGCAAAATGATAAAGTCAAAATAACGCTGGTACTATTTGGTTTAAAAGTGAAGGTTTTTTAATAAATTTTCGTAATATTACTGTACAAACTTTTTATTTTATTCAGCCAATGTTGTATTACACAGAGCGACAAAAAAAAAGTCATGTCAAATGCACTAAAAAAAATTTCTAAAAGTCCACACACTCTGAACTAAATATTTTTTTTAATGAATTTAAAATACTTTAACTTTAAAAAATCATTACTCAATAACTATCAGGCCGATTTCCTTCAAATAAAGACAATTCTAAAGGGATGGACTTTTAGAATGATATGCAATTTGAAATTGAATATTGGCAAACTTTTCTTCGAACAGTGTTCGAAGAAGTTCGAAGTAATCTAAGAAGAACCCTACTTGTAAATTTTTTTTTCTTTGTCACCATCGTGTGGACCATCTTTTTATTAGTAGGAATCCAAATTTTTAAAATAATATACCGAGTAGTTTTTAAGATATGATTTTTTGATGTTAAGGTTTGCTATTCAGGTATTACGCCATATAGGAGAAATGCATGTTAATCTTACTTAAAATTACATTTTTATAAAAGTATTTGTTTTAAGACTCTTCTTATGTTTAAAAATGGTCAATTGCACCTTCTTTGTTCTAATTAGAATAAACAAAAACTGTTTCTTTACTTAAAACGAACAAAGAGTACCTGCGTACTAATTAAAGCAAATAAAAAGGTTTTTTTTTCTAAAAATGATCACTGATCATTGAGCAAAAAAGATCTTGAAATTTAAAGCTGTAGCTTTAAATATAAGAACAAATCTTTTTCAAATTAATTTGAAATTCCATTCAGATTCCAACTTGTTCACTTTGTTCTACTGGCTTTCTGAATTTTTTTTTTAAATATTCTCAGCAAATGCTTTCTCATCACTTTCTACTGATGTTGAATGCAATAAGTCAGTTGCTTCGTGTGCAACTGTTATCACAACAACTACAACCTGCAAGCTAACTGAAGCTAATCGTAGAATGTACCAACAAAATAAATCAGGTGACTTATTGCATTACTCAAAAGTGATGAGAAACCATTTGCTCTGAATATTTTAAAAAAAAGTTCAGAAAGCTAGAACAAAGTGAACAAGTCGAAATCTGAATGGAAAGTGATTACATTTGAAAAAGATTTGCCCTTATATTTAAGGCACGTGCCTTAAACTTCTAGATCCTCTTTGCTCAATGATCAGTGGTCATTTTTACAACAAAAAAAACTCTTTATTTGCTTTAATTAGTACTCAGGTACTCTTTATTTGTTTTAAGTAAACAAACAGTTTTTGTTTATTCTAATTAGAACAAAAAAGGTGCAATTGACCATTTTTAAGCAACAGAAGAGTCTTGAAACAAATACTTTTATAAAAATGCATTTTTAAGTAAGATTAACATGCATTTCTCCTATATGGACCAATGCTTGATTAGCAAACCTTAACTTCAAATCATATGTCGAAAACTACTCAGTATATTTTTTTGAAAATTTGGATTACAACTAATAAAGAGATGCTCTGCACTATGGTAATGATGAAAAAAAAATTACTCGTAGGGTTTTTCTGCTGTTTCTGAATTAAATGAAAACTGTCAGTCATTCAATAACACATATTCAAAGTTAAGTAACTTTTTTTAATGATACAAGGCACACTTTTGGATTTAGAAATTGGTATACTTTGTTGAAAAATTCCTTTTTGCAGGCACTCACACAAATTCGTATCGCATCAGCAACCTCGAACGGGGCGTCGAATACGAATTTCGAGTGGCCGGTCAGAACCACATCGGGATAGGCCAGGAGGCCATAAAATACATGCACACACCTGAAGGCCCCCCAACGGGTCCCCCGAGCAACATCACCCACCGCTTCCAAACACCTGACGTCGTCTGTGTTACGTGGGATCCCCCGGCACGGGAACACCGAAATGGCCAAATCATCAAATACGACATTCAATTCCACAAGAAGTCGGACCATAGCAATATCATTACTCGCAATGTTTCCACCACCAAAGCAGTTTTCACCAATTTGGAGGAAAACACCGAGTATGTGTTCCACGTGAAGGCTTATACGAATCAAGGAGCTGGCCCCAACAGCGAAAAGTTCACAATTCAGACAGAGCGTGATATTGGAAGGGCGCCACTGTCGGTCAAAGCGGTCGCAACATCGGACTCGAGTGTGGAAGTGTGGTGGGAGCCGGTACCATCTCGGGCGAAAATAATTGGGTACCAGATTTTTTATACCATGACGGCGGTGGAGGATTTGGATGAATGGCAGCAAAAGTCGGTGGATGTAACCGAATCTGCTGATTTGGTCAATTTGGAAAAGTATGCACAGTATGCAATAGCAGTAGCTGCAAGGTTCAAAAACGGTCTAGGGAGACTCTCCGAGAAAGTTACCGTCAAAGTCAAACCTGAAGATGTACCATTAAACTTAAGGGCGCATGAAGTTTCGACTCACTCGATGACCCTAACTTGGTCACCTCCAATTCGTCTCAATCCCATCAAATACAAAATCTCATTCGATGCTATTAAAGAGTTCGTCGATTCGCAGGGAATTACCCAGACACAAAAAATCGAACGTAACGAGATTTTATTACCCGATGATGCCCGAACATACACGATTAATAATCTTTCACCCTTCACCACTTATAACGTGAATGTGAGTGCCATACCCACCGATCATTCGTATAGACCCCCTACGAAAATAACAGTAACGACTCAAATGGCAGCACCACAACCAATGGTCAAACCTGACTTTTACGGTGTTGTTAACGGCGAAGAAATCCATGTTATTTTACCCCAAGCTTCGGAAGAGTACGGTCCAATAAGTCACTATTATTTGGTGGTGGTACCCGAAACTAAGGATCAAGCCAATATGAATCCTGATCAATATTTAACGAATAATTTAATCGAAAATAAGGAAAAGGCGGCGACTAATCACAACTTGCCATATATCGCAGCTAAATTTCCACAAAGGAATATACCCTACACTTTCCATTTAGGGACAGGGGAGGATAATGATGAGTTTACAAATTACAAATTGCAGAGGGGGAAGAGGTACCGAATTTTTGTTAGAGCAGTGGTTGATACGCCCCAAAAGCATTTGTACACAAGTAGTCCTTTTTCGGAATTTTTATCACTCGATATGAGAGAAGTACCACCTGGTGACCCCCCTCTACGCCCTAACCCCAATGTCCCGACTGACAACGACGTGAAAGTGAGCTCACAACGCAAGGAAGCCGGACTTTTCTGGATAATAGTCCCAGTCGTAGCCGCCTTGTTATTGTCCCTTATTTTCGTCTTAGTTTTTATATACCGAAAGAGGCGACAACCATGCAAGACCCCCGATCAGGCCGCAGTAACACGTCCTTTAATTCCGGCCGATTTAAACAATAGTATAGCACCGAGCGACCCTGTAGCAATGCGTCGACTCAACTTCCAAACCCCTGCCATGATTTCACACCCGCCAATCCCCATATCAGAATTAGCCAATCACATCGAGCGCCTTAAAGCCAACGACAATCTTAAGTTTTCGCAAGAGTATGAGAGTATAGAGCCGGGACAGCAGTTCACATGGGACCACTCGAATATGGATGTGAACAAGCCTAAAAACCGATACGCTAACGTGATCGCGTATGATCACAGCCGAGTGATTTTGACACCAGAAGAGGGCGTGCTTGGCAGTGACTACATCAATGCGAATTACTGTGATGGGTATAGAAAGCACAATGCTTACGTGGCGACTCAAGGGCCGCTCCAGGAGACTTTTGGTGATTTCTGGAGGATGTGTTGGGAGCTGAAAACAGCCACGATTGTCATGATGACGAAATTGGAGGAACGTACGAGGATTAAGTGTGACCAGTATTGGCCAAGTCGAGGCTCGGAGACTTACGGCAGTATGAATGTCACTATAACCGACGTACAGGAACTGGCAACGTATTGTATTAGGACTTTCCAGATTAATAAACAGGGATTTAGTGATCGTCGTGAAGTGAAACAGTTGCAGTTCACTGCATGGCCCGACCATGGGGTTCCTGACCACCCGGCCCCCTTCCTCCAGTTCCTGAGGAGGGTGTCTAGCCTCAACCCATCCGATGTAGGCCCTGTGGTGGTCCACTGCTCGGCTGGAGTTGGCCGCACTGGCTGCTTCATCGTCATCGACTCAATGTTGGAGCGGATGCGGCACGAGAAAACCGTCGATATTTACGGTCACGTGACATGTCTGCGGGCCCAGAGGAACTACATGGTGCAGACTGAAGACCAATACATTTTTATCCATGACGCGTTGCTAGAAGCTGTGATTTGTGGACAAACGGAGGTGCCAGCACGCAATTTGCAGTCGCATATCCAGAAGTTGATGCAACTGGAGCCGGGCGAAAACGTGACTGGGATGGAACACGAGTTCAAAAAGTTGGGCAATATCAAGACTGATTCGTCGCGGTTTATTACAGCGAATTTGCCGTGCATTAAGCATAAGAATAGATTGGTACATATCTTGCCGTATGAAAGCACGAGGGTGTGTTTGGCGCCGATAAGGGGGATCGAAGGGTCGGATTATATCAATGCCAGTTTTATCGACGGGTATAGGTATAGGAAAGCGTACATTGCGACGCAGGGCCCCCTGTCGGATACTACCGATGACCTGTGGAGGATGTTGTGGGAGCACAACTCGACGATTATCGTCATGCTGACTAAACTCAAGGAGATGGGAAGGGTAAGTTTAGAATTAAGGCTCAATTTCTTTATTGGAAAATAACTTCTATAGGAGAAATGCCATCAGTACTGGCCTAGCGACCGATCAGTTCGCTACCAATGTTTCGTCGTCGACCCCATCGCCGAATACAACATGCCACAGTATATACTTCGCGAATTCAAAGTTACCGATGCTCGTGAAGGGTCCTCGCGAACTGTTAGGCAATTCCAGTTCACTGATTGGCCCGAACAGGGAGTACCCAAGTATGGAGATGGTTTTATCGACTTCATTGGGCAAGTCCACAAGACTAAAGAACAGTTCGGCCAAGACGGACCAATTACTGTCCATTGCAGGTGATAATTATATTTTAAATGCGTTGATAAATGCTAATTTTTATTATATTCAGTGCGGGTGTTGGCCGAACTGGCGTTTTTATCACTTTGAGTATAGCGTTAGAACGAATGCAGTATGAAGGTGTTGTCGATATATTCCAAACGGCGAGGATTTTACGTACGCAAAGACCGGCCATGGTCCAAACCGAGGTACAGTTCATGTTTCTAAAATTATTTGCGTTTACATTTTTGGTTTTTGTTTCAGGACCAATACCAGTTTTGTTATCGGGCAGCTTTGGAATATTTGGGCTCTTTTGATCATTACACCAACTGATGGTCCCGCTAAATACTCGAGTTGTGTTGTTTTGTTTCTACTGCCAAATTGGACGTTTTGAGCAATGCTATGTTCTAATTTAAATCAACTAGTGAATATAAAATAAATTTAAAGAAAAATAGTGTGCAAATGTGTGTAAACTATGTGCCTAACTTATATGTTGGAAGATGAAAATGAAAATGAATCTCTATAGTTTGCTCTATGTGCACAAGATGTGGACTCATGATAAAAGGACTAGTAGAAAAAATTTTGTATCATACATATATCGTGCAATTTTAATACCTATCAATTACGTTCCGTTGTACATCTTTTTCAGTTGGATTTTTGATGTTGTAATCAATCATTTTTGTACATTTTAGGTAATGTAACTCGAATAATATATGTTATAAGACTAGGACATGTTAATTTAGAATTTTTAATAATGTTCATATCATTTTTTCTGTAATCGTAACTATTACAACTACACTTAATGACATACCATACTCAAAAACTGTCAATACTTAATTTTTTTATTATTTCTAGATTGTTAGTCTAGAAACTCGTCTTATTAATTTTTATAACTATTTACAAACATATTTTTTATCTATTTTTTATATTTGTTCACGAGTAATACTCAATCTGTATCCACTTAGTTTTGTAAAAACATTGTTTATATTCAATGATTTTTGAGACGAATTGTTTATATTATATTTTATATACATCACGACCGTTGTAGCACATGAATGAAATGAGACTTTGATGAGAATAAAATTCTAGATTTTATACTGTTTTCATTTATGTACCATATAGGTACTTAATTTATACCAAATTCATCTTTTCCTCCTGAAATTTTTTTAACGAAGCAGACCACAAGCGATTTTTTGTTAAAATCTTTGTCCGTGCCCGATTTTTTTTCCTACAACTACAAAATTTTTAAAATATTTTTGAAAATCTCAATCATTTAAAATTTATTTGTTTCACTGATGCAACGTAATAATTTAAAAGTAACTAATTTTAAGGTTAGCCAACATGATACTTTGACAGTAGTGTTTGAGTGTTGTGATAAAATACTTCAAATTGTAGTCAAGTGAATTTCATCATTTAAAATTTATTGCATTATGGAAGTGTTAAATTTAAAAGAGGGTGAAACCGTGTTAGCAGTATGTGAAGAAGGTGCAAAATCACTTTCTAACCCCACCTTTAAAAACATAAAAAACCTCAAATCTCCAAATGAATTATCAGGTATGACTCAACACGTTTTCGTCACAAAAACATTTATGTTTGTATTTTAGGACTCACTGAAAATGCAAATGATTCTATTTTGGTTGAAGTTCCTCAGGAACAGATTACAGACTCTTTAACAAAACAATTATTCAAGTTGTGCAAACCTGGGGGACAATTGTGTATTAATAAGATCAAAGATTTAGACAATGTAGAGCTTAATTTGAAAACGAGTGGTTTCACTAATGTCCGTAGTGAAAACGGTTGGGTGATCTCAAGTAAACCCAAATACGAAATTGGGTCTTCTGCAAAACTTAACCTCAAAAAACCCGCAGCCGCAGTATGGAAACTGGATGATGCGGATGAAGATGAAACTATAGATCCTGATAATTTGCTTGATGATGAGGATTTGAAAAAGCCTGATCCGTCATCACTTCGGGGTAAGTCCAAGATTCCAATGATATAGTGGGTATTTATTGCAAAATTACAGTTTGTGGAACCACTGGTAAACGTAAGGCTTGCAAGGACTGCTCTTGCGGCCTTGCGGAGGAACTTGCACAGGAGGCGAAAACAGGCCAAGTCGTAGATACAGCTAACGCCCCGAAATCATCCTGTGGCAATGTATAGTATACAAGAATTTTGTCTTTTTCACTATTAAATTTGAATATATTTTGTAGTGCTACTTAGGAGATGCCTTCCGTTGCGCGAGTTGCCCTTACCTAGGAATGCCGGCCTTCAAACCAGGTGAAAAGATCCAACTAAGCGATAATCTTTTAAAGGCAGATATTTAATTAATTCCACATAGCCAGTATATGTATAAATATTCTATTAATAAAAGCGTTAAATAAATTAAATGTATAATATCACGAGAAACATAAGACCAGTTTGAGGTTCTTTTTTAAATTCACACAGAGAAAGTTTATTCACAGAAGTCTTTGGTTCGAGGTCGGCCTAACTTGAGTTCGACCAAAGCGTCGAGTTTGTTGAGACCCACCCCGTTCGTTTGTTCGTAATAGGGTAGGTTCTTGCAGGTTCTGTACCACGTGGACAGGTTGGGGTACTTTTCCGTTGATATGGGGGTAATTATAGTGGCTGTACTGATCGTTGCAACGCAACATAAGTCAGCCACCGTGAGGTTTGGACCAATTAAGTAATTTTTGTTTTGTAGAAATTTATCTAAAAATTTGTAAGATTCCGTAATTGCACTTATTCTTTGCGTCGAGATTTCTTTATCGTTCTCCACCACTATAGAATTCTGAAAGAGAAAACCAAATTAATACACTCCATCGATCCAATGAAAGAGAAAATATTTTATTTATAAATAGCTAACCAACAAAATCTCATTTAAATAAAAGGTTCTCCAACAAAGAAAATAAACTGAATTTGATGTTTTGAACAAATTAATTGTCCTGAATCAAATAAAACAAAAGTTACGACAATAGAATGTCCAAACGGGATATATATTTTAATGTTAAAGACTAGGATTTATCACATGCTTGTATATTTTATGACGAAAAGCCATATTCGAATACATATTTCAAAGCACTTTTCTATAAATATTTTTATGATCATTTACTGCACCATCTAGGAAATTGTAGATATTTTATTTAAGTGCAAAACAAATTGAATTATTCAAAAGCCCTATTCACCGGTATTTTTTGTATTTGTTGTCTGACTATTTACAAAATGTAAATTTAGACTTAAAGTAGATACATCACTCTACAGTTTTTTCGCTTTACACATTAAAATTCTTGTGGGAACATACAAGTAAAAAACCGCGATTTTGTAATTTTTCAAATTTGGATACCACTCAAATTGCTTGTGGTCACAATAAACGCAACATACTGTACCGAAATAGCCTCGCTACTTTAACATTTCCCACATTTTTGCTCTATTTTTGCATCAAGATTATAAACTTCGTTTTCGCAAATACTTTCACTTTTTTATTTTGTTTACAAATCATTGTGACTTTTTTACAAACGGTTGTGACATGCAAAACAAACTTCGGAATCAACAGTTGAGTGGGCGTTGAGCGAACTGTATCGGAACAATTGCACCCACGTGACTCTAATTTGCACACATATTCCATGAATACAAGACAATTTTATGATAATGACGTCAATACTTATGCATACTTACGATAATGCTATTGACTCTGGTAAACAAGACGCCTGAATCAAAATGTAAAAATTGATCAACTAAAGCTCTCAGTTTCGTTTCTTTGGGGTACAACTCGTCGGAGGAGTGTCGACCGACGAGGTACCCCACGATCGCATGGCTGTCCCAGATGGTAAAGTCACCATCGACCAGCGTGGGCACCATGTGATGGGGGTTTATCTGCAAGAAAACTTGAGTAAGTCGCATACTTCATTTTCACTACACCCGAACGTGAGAGTGAATCATCATTCAACACCCAAGAAATTTATATTCATTTCCGGAAAACCCGGAAGTTACAGCACACTTGGAGTTAGTTCTTACCTGGAGGAGTTCAGGGTCGAGATCCTTGCCGTAGATGTTGACCTCCTGGAGGTCTAGATGCGTCCCGATGGCCCCCGCCGTCATTAGAACAGCCCTGCTCTGGGGGCTCATGTCGTTGTAGTACAGTTTGAACATTGCTTGACGTGGTTGCTCACTTGCCACACAAACGCTTCATTTTCAGTCATGCATGGTCGCTCCGGCCTTGCTTCCAACGACACTTAAAAACATGCCAAATGTGAACGTCCGTGAGCAACGACAATAGACGGAATCGACGATAAAGTGTGACATCACACAACGACTATCAGATGCATTCTGCGAGACACGAACGCTCGATTTCTGCCAAGAAATCAATAACTGTCCTGTCCTGCACCAACTGTTGCTTTCAGTCTTTCGGGGCATTTGCCTCGCAGGAGCGCAGGAACGGATCGGATGGATTTCAGGCCGAGCGGGGCGTGACGCACGATAAGGGGATTACAACTTTGCGAATTTAACTTTTGCGAGATTGGAAGCGACGGACTAGATGATGAGATAACGTAATGGTGTATTTGATGAAAAAACCGTTTTTCTTTCAAAGAAGATATTTCAAAACAAAGAGAAAAGTTTTGTAGTATTTATACATTTACTAAATGGATCGTATTGAGATAATGGTAGGCGCCATAGGAATTTTATTAGGGAACGTCGACAGTATACCGAGAAAAAGCCAATAAAAATCGATCTCCGTCCTCCAACTAACAACACCACTATAGTCACCTGTCAGCGCTTGATTCTATTGGTTTGGTTTTGATTTACTAACATTTAGCCAATAGTTTGCAATTGAGGACTATAAAATGTAAAAACCGACTTCTTTAGGTACCGAAATTTAGATTCAATGAGATCTTGCAGCGACTATTATATTATCTACAACTAGCATTTCGTATTATTCAGTACACTCATATCTTATTTTTAGTAAAAAATCTTCAAGCAGTTAAAAAGCTTCCATTATTTTTGGCAACTCTTGGTTTACTTGAAAATCCTATCTTTGCGCAACCATTAATTTTAATATTTCTCTGGAATTTGGATTACATAAAACGAAAAAAGTGATCAAAGTACCGATACTTCTAAAATCTATAAACGTTTAAATACTCCCCAACAACAGAATTGTAATTTTCCGCTAAATTGAAAACCCTCCCTTTTCCACCAAACCATTCAATTTTCTCTTTGATTACTTCATATTTCTTCCGGTCGTAGACAATCCGCCATCGAAAAATGCGATGTGATGATCAATCAACTACAACTCTAATACGCCTCTGTAGAGAATGAGACAGCAAAACTAATTCCTTTTTGCCCATCCTCTGTTTAAATTAATTCCGACACAACTTCGGACTTTTCACTCACTCAATAGGTGAGCTACGAATATTTAGTCTCAATCTCATCACTCGGCACTTTTAATTTTAACTCACGGTCGTCGAGGAATGTAAAATAAAAAACATGACTGTGAGACTTAGAATTTATCTTGTTGAATTTTGTCTCATAATATTTTTACTTTTAATGAGCTTAGTAAAAGCGTTAAGACCTTCTTGATTTGCTTCTTTGTAGTAAGGAAGAGCTTCCAGTCGGTTCCACCACTCAAAAATTTTCGGAAACCTGTTGGAGGCTAAAGGGAGGACTGCATTGGCACTGCTGACAGTAGTAACTAGACTGAAATCAGCAATGGACAATTTGTCACCACAGACGAATTTATTCGTTTCGAGGATTGTCTCCAATAGGGTTAAGCCTTGGAGCAAGGCATCGGCTTTGTCTTTGGCGACAGTTTTGGCACCGCCTCTTAAAATGGAGCTCTGGAACATAATTATGTCGTGACTGCAATATTAATTATTGACAATAATGATTACCGTAATTGCCGATAGCCGTGCACTCAGTACATTTGAATCAAAATGCAACCTTTGGTTGACGATGGCCTTTTGTTGCAAGTCTTTAGGGTAGAGCGAATCATCCGTTCCGTAGTTTTCGACAAGATATGCATTAATAGCATGACTGTCACAAAGACTGAAAGATCCATCTTGAAGAGTCGGCACGGTGTGAAAAGGATTAAGCTACAAGTGATTTAATTGAGACATTTCGAGAGCGATATAAAATTTATACTGAATGTAGAGCAAATAAATTCATCGATCCAATAAACAAAATTTCGTTTGATTTCAAGCCAGTTTGCCGAGTTATACCGCAGGTATTTTTGTTTGCCAATACACGTACAAAAAGTACTTTGGTATGTTTTATACAAAACATGGTATTCAAACGAGAGTTTAATGTCAATCCTGTCGAAACGCTGTTATTAATACAGAATTAAAATGTGGAAATCGATAACGCCCATAAAAAATTTAATCAAGGGAGATCCATTTGGGTGTGACTCAAGGTTTCTATTTGCTGCGGAAATTGGTCTAGGACTTACCTGAAGAAACTCTGTAGTGAGATGTTCTTGTGCGTTTAGATTTATTGGGACAAGTTCGACCTCAATACCCAAGGCGTTAATTGTCAAAAGAGACGCCCGACAAGCTGGGCTTAGTGAGGTGTGGTACAGTTTTAGAGACATGATCGACTAACTACCGTATTATCTGGAACACACAAGTGGGAATAATTGTTTTATAGGAGATATAAAGGCTTATCAGATTTTAGTTGCATATGTGTTTATCAGATTTCTTTTGCAGATAATTTCCCTGCGATTAAAGTCTTTTTTAATGTAAGATTTATTTAATTTAAAAAATAGATTCATATGTTTCTACATTGCCTGCATATCATACTACTCGTATTTATCAGATAAAATATTAAATGTTATAATAATGAATTGTTTTGAAAATTAGATAAAATTATTAAATAATTACAACAAATGAAATTATCAATGTTTAAGTGTTTATAGTTTATTTTAAACTTATGTACTTATCTATTAATAACGATTAAATACCATACATCTTATAATTAATCAGTGTTACTTGAGTGACTTTTATTTTATTGAACATCTAAACTGCATTTATATATTATATATAATATTAGAAAATCGTTCATGTTTATTGTTCAATGCAATCCTCATTACCTTTACTATCGTTGATAAATTTCTTCACCTATAATACGAGCTTAATAGTGCCTCTATAAAATTTTGAGATATTTGTGTGTTGAGCCTAGATGAAAAAAGATTCTCGATCGAGATTATGAAATAAAGTTTTTTTTGATGAAGTTTTTTTTACTTTTCAACGCCAAACAAATTTAAATTAATTTTAAATAGTTTTGTACACAATTATCTTTAGACCCGTATTTCTTTAGACCCCCTGTATTTATTTCTGGGCTAGTGAATAAATTAACTTTTTTTCATTCTGGAATTCGTCTGAAATTCCCCAGTTAGAAATTACAAAGGACAAAGTTACGTTTGGTTATGGTAAAAAAAAACACTTTCATGCTTTCCGCAAATTAATTATTCTTGTATTATTCAACTGAAATAAATTTCGAAACGTTCACCGTAACAATAATTTAACGTAATTAGTGTAACTGTCAAGCCATTTTCTATTCTCCTCATAAACGGGTAGTTGTTCAAGATTCTTCACCCATGTAATCAAGTTTGGATACACAAAACGATCGATTTTTACCAAAACGTTAAGAGCACTAATCGTTGTTATCAAGCTGTAATCCGCAATCGTGACAGAATCGCCAGCCATCCACAGTTTTCCTTCAAGAAAAGCCTCTAAAAATGAATAAATCTCCTCAGCTGCGATTTTATCGTCTTGTGTAATTACTTTTTTCCCTTCATAGAGTATTGGATACTATATAAAAAACCATCTATGACCACTTCATACAATTTTCCGCTTACCAAAATTTTTAACATCTCAGGAAATGCAACCCCATTTTCAAAATGCAATCTTTGGTTCACCAGAGCTCTTCTTTTTATATCTCGTGGATAAAGAGAGTCGTCTTTGGCATACTTCGAAACGAGGTAAGCCATAATGGCATGACTATCCCAAAGGACAAAACCATCATCGTCGACCAAAGTGGGAACGGTATGTTGGGGATTTAACTGATGCATGTGTTCAATTGAAATCTTGTAATTACAAGGAACCAGAAAAGTACCTTACCTTAAGAAATTCAGGACTTTTATGCTCATTTTTTTCCACATTTAACTGTTTGAGTTTTACATCAAGATCAATTGATTTCACGGTCATAAGAACAGCTCGTACTGGCGGAGTAAGGTGCGTCACATACAACGCTGGCCCCATGGCAAATGGAAAATGAATGAATCAAAATAAGTGCATAAGAAACAATTATAATTGCTTCATTATGCGATATAAGCAATTCATTCCTTATTTTCCATATTCATGAAGAAAAAAATTAAATATAAATTTAAAGATTGTTATAAACTTTTTCAAAAATTATAGGTATAAAAAATCAGAAATCACAAATATTAAGTACTAAAAAGAGTAAAATAGTAATTTGCTTTTCTTGGGAGATCCCACTAAGATTAGTGGTCTTATTACCTACTTACCGAAAGGGTAAGACAAATTAAAATTTTGTAGCATTTGTATTTTTTCACATGCAAAATAGAAAAATAAGTAATTTAGGATTTCTATAATTTTGTATCAGGAAACTGTATTCGTGAACCCTTCGCACTCTAATGTATTTATTATTGATCAATATCACGGTTTATATTTTTGTTTAAGTCAATGTTAGTTGTATAACAATAAAATGATATACATTCGTTTTGTTTGTTTAACAATTAATTACTAAATTTTTTCTAAAAGTACACCGAGTGACCTAGTGATTAAAACTCGAGTTAAAACATGTTATCAGTTATGCAACCATTTTCTGCTTATGGCAGTCTCTATTTTATAAGTATGTACACAAACTTTAAAAAAATATACAAAAACCAGAAATTACCATTAAAAATTAAGTTTTAAAAAGTGTAACATCGTTTTTGGTAATTTGCTGTCGTTTGAACCACAATCCTTTTCCATAAAACAATGAAACATGAATTTTGTATCTTTGTTTTTTCCACATAGAAGAATTGAAGTAATTTAGCCTTGTTACATAACGAACTAAATAATGCTTATTTTGTAATAAGAAACTGATGTAATCGTGCACCTCTCTTGCTCTAATTTATTATTGATCTACGAGTATATCCTTGCTTATCACCCACTTATATTTTTTATACAGAGTGACTAGAAAATATGGATTTAACTAAACATTTTTAAAATTTCTATAGATACAAGGAAGACGAGTCAAATTTAACATTTTGGAAAAGAGCATTTTTGTCTTTTCACTTGCTGACAAAAAAATTGTTAAACAAAGTTTTGTAAACAATCAACCAAAATATTATGTAGGACAAATATGAGCAATTAATATTCTGTTATAATACCACGATAGTAGTCAAAAAAAAAGTGGAATATTGTTATGAATGCTCATGAGTGTGCACGAATGGTGTTCGCAAGCGTAATGACCATGAATAAAAATATTCTACAATCTTTGACTACGAATTGTATTCAACAGACCAAATGGCAAATATGCGTTACACTTGATTTCGTTGTCATAGCAACGTTGAATATCCAATTATACAAAGTGGTTATAAAAGATTTTCATCTAGCCAGCTGTGAATTTTCCATGTAAAATAAAAAAACGCCGCTTTACGAAAATAGGGGTACCTACTTGTTTTAACTCAAAATTGAAAAATCGTCCACTTCGAAAATAGACTTCGATTATAAACTTGTTTTCTTCCAAAGTATACATTATTATCAATTATTATTGGAAATTAGTTGAAATAATAAAAGTTTAATTAACAACAATTTATTATTAATTAATACGTGACACTAACGACAGAACTAGAGCTTTCAAAAAATTAGAGCGTCACAAATAAAATTACATGCAAAAAAATTCCTAAGCTAGCTAGATGAAAATCATTTATGTATTTTATTACGAGTGGAATATTCGCTTGAATTTGTTGTTGCTAAGATGCCGTAGTCAATATCTGCTATTTTATTGGTTAATATTTGAAAAAAAGAGGTGAATTGAATAGTCAGCTCATGGAGATAGTATTATACTAGGTCCATGAGTCACCTGTATTCATAATAATTGACATAATAGAAATAGGCACGTATACAAAAACTTAATGTTGGTTGCATAGCAATAATATGATGTAGACTCATTTAATTATTAATTTTTTTTCCTAAAGTGCAACTGCACCTAGCTGGGTATTATTAAAAAAACTCGTGTTAAAAATTCTTTCGTGCACTCCGTCCTATTGTTTTTTGTTAATAGCTGTTTTATATATAAAAATTCTTCCGAGCCTGCCCTGAATAGGTATCTATGACCCAAGTTTTTATAATTTAAATATGCCCTTAATTTTATTTGCATTACTTTTACTTTAAGAAAACCTTTTCTAATAATTTTCGAAATAAAGCAATAAAAGCAATATGGAATGAATATTCTAAACTTTAGCAAAGACAAGTTAATGTCTTTTTTTCATTGTTTACAAGTTAGTTCCATTCAAACTGCAAACTTAAACTAGAGTCTGTAGAGAAAACCGTGTACAGTGTGGGCGTTATTAGCCACAATAATTCAGCTGGATATCTTTTTTCAATTGCGTTGTTATACAAGTAAAATTTCCGATAAATAATTTATTATTCTGCCATTCAGTTAATCTACATGTAATGCATTCATTTCAAGGATAAATACTGCATCAATATTCTGTACATAATACACATCCACCTTTCTTCTGATTAGATACATTGTTGGTAATCGATATTGGAGAAATATGTAATGATTGATGATACGCCACTGAATACACCAACAACAAATAATAAACTTGTGTAACAGTTGACGCTCATCAGACTTTCATGTTTTCATGCAACCTTGACCTTTGTCCTCAATCAAAAACTTGTTTTATTTGTTTTAATTATGTATTTTTCGTAGTTAAACATAATACGAAATATTTATCCTGATATTGAGTTAACATAACCAACGAATTGTTCCAGTCCTGATTTATTCGCCTCATAAGCCGGTAGTTTTTCAACATTTTTTACCCAAGTATTTAGCTTTGAGTACTTTACTGGATCAATTTTTACCAAAACGTTTAGAGAACTAATCGTGGCTATCAAACTATAATCAGCAACCGTAACAGAATCCCCAGTCATCCATTGTTTTCCTTCTAGAAAAGCTTCTAAAAAGGAATAAACTTCCTCAGCTGCATTCTTATCTTCTTGTGTGATTGTTTTCTTCTCACGATAGATTAATGGATACTATTCGAAATAAGAACCAGATATTTGAATTTTTGAATTCATACATACCAAAATTGTTAGAAACACGGAAAAAGCAACACCACTGTCAAAATGCATTCTTTGGTCTATGACGGCTCTCTTTTTCAAGTCCTTTGGATAAAGAGAATCGTTTTTGGCGTACTTTGAAAGAAGATAAACTATAATTGCGTGGCTGTCCCAAAGAACGAAACCATCATCATCAACTAAAGTGGGAACGGTGTGTTGGGGATTTAACTGAAAGTATATATAATTCAAAAAAAAAAAGTTAAAAAGGTATCTTACCTTAAGATATTCGGCAGTTTTATGGTCACCTCTTCGCAAGTTTAATTGTTTAAGCTCTAGATCAAGACCGATTGATTTAGCAGTCATAAGGACGGCTCGTACTGGGGGGCTAGAAGGCATCATATACAGTGTGGGCGCCATGATTAATGGAAAACAAATGAATCAAGTGTCACGTTTCTTATCTTTCTTTATGCAAATGTTTAAAAAAACAATGATATTATTATCTGACTTGTAAATATTGGTTGATTGTTTAGGAATTATGTATATAGTTTCACTTTTACAATTTTTTTGAAACCTAATATTTTTACACCTGTACCTTCGTAAGACCATCTTTTAAGTGTACTTTGTACAATAAAAATGTATTAATTTTGTACTCTTGCCCGATTCATCGTGTTTTGTGTTTTTGTATTTAAAATTTACAGCCTTTTATACAACATATGATGAAGTGGATCATCAACTTTTCAGTCGATATTTGTCAGAAATGATTTATTAAATTTAAAAAATAACTTGAACCATTTTTGACATCTCATCGGACCTGATTCATGTATACAGAGGGTGTTTCAGAACTCGCGCCCCAGAAAAAAATGTGAAAATGACATCTCATCGGACCTGATTCATGTATACAGAGGGTGTTTCAGAACTCGCGCCCCAGAAAAAAATGCTAAGTAATATAAGATATCAAGAACATGTAAAGAAAACTCTAACACACTGACCTAACCAGTAAGCCACGATAAAAAATTGTTTCAATGCTAAATCGTCTTTTTGCAAAGATTTTGACAGTGGCGTGTGGAAGAATTTTGACGAAACTTAAAACAATTTTAATTCATTAATAAAATTGAAATGAAAATTTTCAGATGCAAACTTGCAGTTCTTATATATCAAGAAGTTACTCCGTTTTTGTGCACTTATTTCGATTTCAACAGATTATTTATAAAAAAAAATAAGAAATACATATAGATATGTATTATACAAAAATATCACTTTAAAATTTTAAATAATGAATTTGGTTTTTTTTGTTGCTCACATAATTGTCTTCGAGTTTGCTACATGGTTGTAACCGCTGTAACTAAAAATTTTAAGATGTAAAAAAAAGTTTGCCGACCCTTGTTCTAGAGGATAAATTTTTTCTCGCTCATTTTAATTGCAAAATGATAAAACACATTAACTTCACTAAACATTTATTTAAAAAAAAAACAATAAATAATTACTTAAGTTTACTTTTAATCATGGCCTCGAATTTAGCCAACCCTTCTTTGCTTACGTCAACTTCCGGTAAAGCATCAACTTTTTTGTACCAAGCTGCTACTTTTGGGTATTTCTGCGCATCGATCGGTACCAAAACATTCATAGCACTCAGAGTGGCATACAAGTTGTAGTCAGCAATGGTTACAGAATCACCAGCAATCCATTGTTTGCTCTGAAGGAATGCTTCCACAAATCCATAAACTCTGTTAAGTTCTTCGCGATCTTGATCATCGATTTTTGTTTTACCAGCGCGAAGAATAGCACCCTAAGAATTAAGTAACTAAAGGATACGTCTATAATTAGTACTAACTTACAATAATTTTTAAACCAGTGGCAAAAGCAACACCATTATTAAAATGAAGTCTTTGGTCAACAATTGCCCTTTTCTTCAAGTCTTTAGGATAGAGGGAATCATTTTTGCCATATTTTGAAACGAGGTAAGCGTTAATGGCATTGCTGTCCCACAGAGTGAAACCGTCTTCTTCAACAATGGTCGGTACGGTGTGTTGGGGATTAATCTATTTTTTTAATTAGATATGAATAATTTTATTTTGCGATTAATAAAAAAAGTGTTACCTACCTTAAGATATTCTGGTTTTAAATGTTCACCTTCCATAAAATTTAAAGGCTTCTCTTTCAGTTCTATCCCGAGAGCTTTTGCTGTAATTTGTACGGCACGTACCGCAGGACTTGGAGCGACCATGTACAAAGTGATAGCCATGGTTGTGGTTATAACAAGTTACACTGGAATACTAGTTGTATCTCGCGTAGTTCCACTCGTTTTATCGATTCAGATAACTAGCCATATCTACAATGAATCATACATGAGTTGGCAAAATGGTTGAAGCTGAAGTGACTGTGTCACCGCGGTTTCTGGTGAAAGATACCTTCCGAGGAAATTTCAAATTTTGAGTTTTATTTGTGAAAGGTGGGAATATTTCAGTTGGTTTTGAAGTATAACAAAAAATGAAAGGGATTTCCGAATATTTCCAAATGAATCAGATTTGTCCAAAATTTGGACGTTAACTATCTTTCGGAATTAATTGAAGAGACAAAATTTTGCTCGAAGAAAATTTTTCAAAGGTCAATTAGTGGGTCGATGGATGTAACCTTGATACACTTTCTACGTGGAAGATAATTACTTATTTAAAGTTAACGTTAGAATACTCAATTGAATAATTAGGTATTATTTTATTATACTCATATTTCCGAAGTGAAAAAGTTAAGAGATCGGTACTTAGTAATATTTCTGTATCCAGGTACACGTGTCGAAGATGAGAAGAGCACTTTCTTTTTTTGCAGCACATTTGTTAAAACCTATTGTTTTATATTTAGGAGTTTAATTTTTACGTGTATAAGATTTTTATACAAAGTCGCTAAAATGCATGGATACAATGAATATTTTAAAAACTGTTACTCAATTTGTTTTGAAATGTTGTTAAAAGTATTCTAATTCCATCATCTGAAATATTTTTCAAAATGTCTACTTTGACATTTACTTAGAAAAAGCTATACATATAGAAGGCTAACATAATTAATAGTACGAAGGATCATAATAAATATTTCGGAAAATATCTTCTTTATTCAATGATGTAACACATTTGAATAAAAAAAGATTACAATGTGTAATACAATAAAATTTGAAATAACACATTTTTTTTTACTTTCACTTGTTAAATTATCTTCTGAAAAACCCTGTTTTGTCAGAAAAGTTCGAAATTTCGCCCAACTTTTCAAACAATTCTAGAGAGGTCGGCTTCAAAACCTGCTCTCTGTTATTTTTCATAGTTTTAGTAGCACATTCAAGTTCAACCTGTTACAATTGACTTTTTTGTTTTTAAGGTAGATATATGTAGTAAAACCATCATTTGAATAATTACCTACTTAACAATGAAACAATTAAATCATGGTGCAAGGTTTTCGGATTTTTTTATATGGGGAATGGCACTTGGCTAATCGACTACTTTTTGTTGAAAAGCAAATTTTTATTTGTATGATCGATTTCGTTTGAAAAAGAAAATGAAAACTACTAATAGTTGCATACTCAAAAAAACTGTTTTTTTCTCTTTTTACAGAAAAACTTTGATGACACTACAAATTTCTCTTTTCATTATGCGTACCAGATAAGATAAAACAGTATCTCTAAAGTTATATTTAGAATGTAACAAACAATAAAGTTTGTTAATTGAACTAAAAAATACATAATAGGTATGTCAATAACAGATTTGCTGATTCGTTGAAACCCTTTAGGCAAAAATGAAAAATAAATAGGTACCTAAACCTAGTTTTGCTATTATAAGAGTTGAGAAACTTCATAAAGAATTGCTCGTGCCCCACATTCGTGTCGCAAAGCATAATAATTACACGCAACCCTAAGCACCCGTTCCTTTGAAATGAAATAAAGAAAACTGTGTGTGGTGAGCAAGTACACACGCGCTTAATTAACAACTCATCTCATATAAAGCAAAAAGGTGTTTCTGTATTTCCTTGATGATAGATACAATTAGAACTGGAGGGACCACTCGTAAAAGAGAAACATGAAATCAGTGAAGAAACATTTCTCGTATTGGATATAAAAATGTTATTTATCGAAACGAATTTATTATTTAGAATGATGTAAAACGAAATTGAGAAGGACGATAAGTTCTTTAACATTGATGGAAAAGATTACATGATTTCGTTCTAATAAGCAGTGGCGATATATTTACTTTTCCGAAAAATACTACATATGTTTACATTTTTATACAGGGTGTCCTACGAGTAATAATGAGCCCAAAAATTTTTTGAAACAACCAACATTACATTTCATAGATAACGTGGATATTAAAGTAATTTGTTTTAATTAGTTTAACATAGTAATCGTATTTTTATTTTTGACAAATTTCAGTCAAAATGACTACTCCAGTTTTAGAAAGTCCGTCTATTTGGATACCACGCTGCAGTCTGCGAAGCGTTTTTCAAACATTCTTCATAAATGAAAATCTTGTTGGTTTTTTCGGCAAAATTTTAGTAATTCTCACCAAATTTTCAAAGGTTTGACTTTTTATAAATTAAAGTTGGAAGTGTGCTGTTTGGTCACTATGTTTAGTTTATAAAAACTAAATATTTTAATATCCACATTATCTTTGATTCCAGAGTTGGTTAATGTTGGTTGCTTCCAAATTTTTTTCAGGCTCATTATTACTCGTGGGACACCTTGTATAATATACAGGGTGATTCTTAAATAGACCGACAAAAAATCACAGCTTTCCAAGCATAAATGGAAATAATCAGTACCTTTTTTACGTCGATATTTTTTAGGGGCAGAACCCCCTTGATCCGTGCCACTTACGGCGTTTATGAATTGTTGCAATGATCAAGTACATTTTGATCAAATTAATACCTTGGTTTCCACTACCTGTGCTAATACTATTTACACATCAGTGGCGTACGCTTTATCTCGAAAATAACTTTAATAAATTTTATTTGGAGAACGATTAAACAAAGAATTTTTTCAATATTTTTTCCAGCATGTTCTCATTTGATACTACCAAGGATAAAATTTTGTCGGTCTATTTAAGAATCACCCTGTATAAGTAACTTAAAAGTGCTTCTTAACATAGAAAATTTTGTCTATATCACGAAATGTGTTAATTCATAATTATTGTGCACAAATTTTTATTAATAGATAATTTAAACATGACAATTTTTGATAACTCAAGATGTCACAAACAAAATTAAAAAATGAATTTAAGTGGCACTTGTGTTGAGTAAAGTTTGTTATGACACATGTGTTTTTTCAAATAAGTCACTTAGGACAAGTGTACATAATCCCAATATGCCAGCAAATTGGCAAAATGGCTGTCTATAAAATTTGTTTCATTCACTACTATTGGAATGGAAAATGGAATATTTTAACATTTAAAGGTCAATAATAGACTTTACTAACTCGCTGAACACTCCTCCTCCAACAATAAAATGATTTACATTTATGAGTTTTCTACTTTTAATTTAACTTCTTTTAACTTAACATTAGAATTTCTAATATAGGCCATAAGCGACATTATGGCTTTAAACAGGTGAAATTTTTTTCCAGAAAGTCGTGCGGTTTTTAACTCACATCGATTCCAGTTTGAAAATCACAATCATTTTATTCCGAGAACTTTATAGTAAGTCGTGTTGAAGAATTAATTATTTTTTTATTTCAATAATACCTACCATTTAATTCGAGTCGACGCTTCAAAAATTTCAACAGTCTACAACAATATGTATAATGTGTTGTAGTTAATATCTTAATCAAAATTACAATGTTGAAATACTGATTTTGTTGCATCCAAACTCCATTTCTTGATTACTTTTTTTACATACTTGCAATTCATATTCTAAAGTTTTAATTTGCACATAATAAAGTTCAATAGCAAACTATGTCTACGCAAGGTTATACCTGTAATGACCTATTACACACGCACACCTAACTAAAATTCAATTAATTCATTCGTAATTATGTAATTCTCCACATTGTTGAAAAATTCTATTCGATATTATATATTAGAAAAAAAAAAGGAGAAAAAATATACCTATTATTTTTTTCAAGTTGTTTTATAAAAAAAAACACACAATCAAAACTGTCAACCATCAAAAAGAATCTCCCTTTTAACAATCGGGTCAGATTTAGAAGAACATAAAAAACCAACTTTAATAAATAAAAATAAAAATAAATACAAATCCTTCTGCTCAAAACACAAACATATTTCATTTGCTGCATGAATATAAAACAGAATAGACGTATTTAAATAAAGTTAATGACAATAGTTTTAAACAGTTCATTATTATCATGGCACCTACTTTATACATGCTTCCTGCAAGTCCTCCATGCAGAGCTGTAGTCATGACAGCTAAAGCCCTTGGAGTAGAATTCATAGAAAAAGGTATTTATTTTTTTCGAGACGATAATGTGAAAACGGAATTTTGCAAAGTAAGTATATATAATACTTTGCAGTTAAAAATTCACTTTTTTATTTACAAGATAAACCCACAACATACTATTCCAACCTTTGTTGATGAGGACGGATTTGTATTTTGGGATAGCCATGCAATTATGGCTTATATGGTAGCAAAATATGCGAAAAACGACTCTCTTTACCCAGAAGATGTTAAGAAACGAGCGATAGTTAATCAACGATTATTTTTCGAATCTAGTGTTATATTCTTTCATATGAAAAATATTGCTGTTAGTATATTTCAATAGCTATAGTACTGACAAACTAACGGAAATTAAATTTCAGTGTTCAATTCTTTTGGACGGTAAAAATTTCATAGACTCAAACGAAAAGCAAGCTTTACTTGAAAGTTTTGATGTTTTGGAAAAATTTATAGAAGACAGTGAATGGATGGCGGGTAATTCACTTACCATTGCTGATTACAGCCTAGTTTCATCTATCGCTAGCGTTAATAATGTGATACCAATTGATCCAGAGAAATATCCAAAGTTAATTGCTTGGTTTCAAAGATGTAAAAGCCTTCCTGAGTATGAAGTCACCCGTAAAGGCCAAGAAGAAGGTGCTAAAATGCTCAACGCTAGATTAAATATGTCATTCCTAAAGAAATATCATTAGAGTTATTGATAATGATATCAAATAAATTTATTAAATATCATTCGCAAGTTTTCTGCTACCATTTGTTCCAAATGTGTGATCCTGTGATCTTAATTGTATAATAAAAATACCATTATTCTTTAATGAGAGTGACAAACATACCACATGATTTGCTTACAATACTATGATTTATTATAATCTGCATCGCAAATATCAGAGGAAATGATAAACTCAACCTAATAAAGATATCGAATCAGTACTTCATTGTGTGCAAAGTGGTCAACATCATGGCACCTACATTGCACATGCTTTATGCAAGTCCTCCGGCAAGAGCAGTCATGATGACTGCCAAAACCATCGGACTTGATCTTAATCTGAAAGAAGTGGATTTCATGAATGAGGAACATTTAAAACCCGGATATGTGAAAGTAAGTCATTTTGGGACATTCTTGAAAAAAAATCACTATAAATTTTTTTAGATGAATCCTCAACATACAATTCCTACACTTGTAGATGATGATGGGTTTATAATTTGGGACAGCCATGCTATTATGATCTATTTGCTATCTAAATATGCTACAAACGACGCGCTTTATCCCAAGGATATCAAAAAACGGGCTGTTATTGACCAAAGACTTCATTTTGAATCAGGCGTCGTATTCGCACTTTTGAGAAGAATTGTAGTAAGTGATTTTCACTTTTACAATTATAGAAGTTAAAGAAAAAAAATTACAGAGACCTATTGTTATTGGAGGTCAAGATTTCATCGAAGAGAAGAATAAAAAAGCTGTTATCGAAAGTTACGCTTTTTTGGACCAATTTTTGGAAGGAAGGCAATGGGTTGCTGGTGATTTTAAAAGTATTGCAGACTACAGCCTTCTTTCATCAATCAGTACACTAAACAATGTGATTCCTGTTGATCCTAAAATGTATCCTAGAGTGATAGCTTGGCTGAAACAATGTGAAGAACTACCGGAATATGAGGCTAATCGTAGAGGACTGCAAGAAATGTCTGATATGCTTAACAGCAAGTTGGCTAAAAAATAATAATTGTTAAACCCACAATTAATAAAAAAATATTGCAATTATATTCTTTTAATTAATGTTTAAAAGAAGCGAAAATAGACAAAACACTTTCTACTGCACCATCTGGCAAATAAAAAGAATACAAGGAATCAAAAAGATAAAATCAGGACTAATAAGGATCACAATTTCTGGCTGATGAGTGTTTGTAAATGTGTTCCTTTTGAGAATCATTACGTCTAGTGGATTTTATTACCTCTATGGATGTTTTTGTGCTTCTAGATTTTCTAAAATACAAACCCAACAAAGACTCACTAGTGATTAGTATATTAGTAACGAATCAAGGGGAAAAAATCATGACATTTTGCTTTTTGCAATCTTTATTAGAAATAAAAATATTTGTATTACTGAATTACATTATCGATTTATTGCGCTTATCATTTCACTTTCTGGTTAATCTAATTTTAAGCATTTCGGCTGCTTCTTTAAAACCTTTCGCATTTGCTTCATATTCTGGCAATTCCTCACATCTCTTCATCCAGGCTGTCAATTTCGGATATTTCTCCGAATCTACTGGTATTATAGATGCAGCAGTACCAACGGAAGATATTAAACTGTAGTCAGCAAGACTGACAAAATCACCAGCAGCCCATCTTTTCCCTTCTAGAAATTTTTCCAACAAACCAAAGCCTTCGATCATACCTTCTTTATCTTCTTCGTTTATAAAGTTTTGACAATGAACAAGAAGAGATCGCTAAAATTACACCGATTATTTAAATACATTTTTACGAGAACATACAAACTGCAATATTTCTCATATGGAAAAATATCACACCAGATTCGAAAAAAAGACGTTGATTTACAACCGCTCGTTTTTTAAGATCTTCAGGATAAACAGAGTCGTCCTTGGCATATTTTGATACTAGGTAAGTCATAATTGCATGACTGTCCCAAATTGCAAATCCATCTTCATCTTCCAATGTGGGAATAGTGTGTTGAGGGTTTAACTGAATATTTTAGTATAGTAAACGTTCAGATATTTTAATCACTTACTTTAAGAAAGTGTGGTTTCAAGTGTTCATCTTGAAAAAAGTTGATGTCTTTTTCATTTAAATCAAGACCAATAGCTTTCGCCGTAATCAAAACTGCTCTGACTGGAGGGCTCGCTTGAATCATATATAAAGTAGGAGCCATGATTTTGCCGCTCGATGAACAAGTAAACTTCCACTATAGTTTGCTAACTTCAACGCAAATAATTCTTTAATGATCATTCACAAAATTTATTAACTTTTGCACGCATTCTTTGTTCAAGTGACCTCAGAAATTGTAATCAGAGTTCACCAAAGAATGAATATGTATAAGTTACACAACCAGTAAATCAATTTTAATTTTTAATTTTTCGTGAAACAAAAAATTCTTAAACTATGGACAATTTATTTTTCAATATGTTGTGAACTTCCATTAACCCTTTTCTGTTAACCTCATACTCTGGAAGATTCTCGCACTGTAGTACCCACTTCGACAATTTTCGATACTTTTTTGTATCAATTGAAACAAAAGCATTGAGAGTACTAACAGTTGCTATTAAACTGTAGTCAGCAATAGTAACAGAATCACCAGCGATCCAAACTTTTCCTTCTAAAAAAGTTTCCAAAATTCCGTAACTCTCATGAATAGCTTCTTTATCTTTCTGATCTATTGAGGTTTTATTTTCATAAAGAACTGCAAACTATTCTTGTGTGTAATAAAACAAAAAGATAGATACCTCCATTTACTTACTGCAAAATTTCTCATTTGGACCGATAAAACTCCAGCCTCAAAATAAAGTCTTTGATGAATAACCGCTCGTTTTTTCAAATCTTCAGGGTAAAGTAAGTTATTTTTAGCATACTTTGAAACTATATAGATCATAATGGCATGGCTGTCCCAAAGTATGAAATCATCATCCACAAGGGTCGGAATTGTATGTTGGGGATTTAACTATAAGAAAGAATAAATTATTATTTTTGATAGGTATGCAATTCTACTTACTTGAAAATACTCCGGTTTTAAGTGGTCTAGATGCAAAAAATCTATTTCTTTTTCGTTGAATTTTAAATCAAGAGCTTTTGCTGTGATAAGGACAGCTCGCACAGAAGAGCTTGCCTGATACATGTACAGTGTTGGGGCCATATTTTACTGATTTGGCACAACACCACATCGATATACGAGTATTTACTTTAAAAAGATGTGCTCTTCGTCGACAAGGATTTGCAATTAGGAGAATATGTAGATCAATAAATGTCATATGGAGGTTGTTTGCTCGTCCTTTTTAGCTACGTATAATTATCATGTAAATTAACTAAAACTTATACTACAGATACAAAAAGAAGAAAATTTATCAAGAGCATTTTATTACATACATAAAAAATAATTGTACTTTATATGAATGTAAGTATAAAAATATTTAATAATACTAATGTGTACATCAGTATAACACATTTTCCAGTTTTACAGAGACAAATTCAACGAGTTATCACAAAATTAATATTTAAACCGATTTATTTTTTAGATAATTAGGCAACAGCCATTTTGCTTTTTAATAATCTGCTGTAGTCTTCCAATCCCTTTACATTGGCTTCATACTCTGGCCGACCCTCCATCCTTTTTAACCACGCATGTAAATTGGGATACTTCCCGGCATCAATAGGCACCATAATATAATTCAAACTACTTATAATTGAAACTAAACTGTAATCAGCCACGCTGATAAAATCACCAGCAACCCATTGATGTCCGTTTAGAAAAGTTTCCAAAAATCCGTAAGCCTCACAAACATTCTCCTTGTCTTGTTGGTTTATTGTCTTTTTACCTTCAAAGATAATTGGGCGCTGAAGGATTAAAGATAAGTCAACTTGATTATTATTTATAAATTAGTGACTTACTGAAATTGCCGCTAACCGAGGGAAAACAAACCCCGATTCAAAATGCAAACGTTGATCAACCACCGCTCGCTTCTTTAAATCTTTAGGATACAGAGTATCATTTTTTGCATATTTTGATACCAAATATGTGATAATTGCATGACTGTCCCAAATTGTAAATCCATCGTCGTCAACAAGTGTTGGAACGGTGTGTTGAGGGTTCAGCTAGAAAACACATTTTATACGAGATATTCGAATGCTGAAACTTAATTACCTTAAGGTATTCGGGTTTAAGGTGATCGCCAGCTAACAAATTTACTTCTTTTTCTGTTAGAGTTAGTCCAATGGCTTTAGCAGTCATTAAAACGGCCCGAACAGGAGGACTTGCGTGGATAAGGTAAAGTATTGGAGCCATTTCGTGATTGTTTTGACTACTAGCAGTTAGATACTACTAACATAATTTTCTCTATAGTAACTGTATATTTATAGTGGAGATTATTATGACCAACTAGTGATTATGACGTAGAATGATTGAGATAAATAGCGGTTAGTTGCCTTTCTATTTATGCAGCATCATCTAATTGTAGGTGACAAACAAGTGTTGTTCTGTTTAATAAAAAAAAAAAATTCGACATTTATTTAAAAAAAAATATGTCTTAGATTTGTTTTTGAATGCTAAAAAAATCTATCAATCTCAATTGACAAGTTGGCTACATACTGTGGTCAGTCTTACGTTCTTTTCACCCTATCACATTTGTTTTTCTGAATTAATACACGTTCTCTTACAAAATTTAAGCCAATCAAATCTTTCAAATTTCTAAGATTCAATCAGATTCAAATTACGCGATAATTCAGCAACTATTATTGATAATTTGTCCGTCTGCTAAATTACCGCGAATCTTATTGGAAGAATCTCAGATATTTCACAGATTTGATTCACATACAATTTTTTTTTAATTTTTTCATAATGAAAATATTGTTATTGTAAATTTCGTCTGGGAAATAGTCTGCAAAATATTCCTCGTGCATGCCAAATTGATTCTAATTATCGACAATTCGGCATGCACTCAGGACATTACTATTGAGTATTTAACACAATCACTCATTGATTTGCTCTTAAAAAATATTTAGAAACATACACAAATTTCTTTTGATGATCTTTTTTAGTTTTTCCTTAAAACACATTGGTCGCTTACCACACAAAGTGTTATTATCAAAAAATATGTAATTGAAAAAATTTATTCTGCCTAAAAAAATTACATGAAAAAATATGGAGAGAAAAATACAGAGGTTGGTATTTAGAGCAACTTTCGACGCTGTGCGTCTCAAATATATGTAGTAATTCACCTTGCCTATAAAAACTGTTTTCTTACCCTTATTGGTATATGTGTTATTACTATTTAAAAATATTGGAAAATGGTTTAAAAAACAGTAAAATACTTTTAAAAAGTGCCAAAATTACAACAATTTAATAGCGACAAGTTTTATGATGGGCTGAAAATAAAATTAATATGAGTAATAAATGTGTCTAATGAAGCATTATTTAACCCTTCATGTTACTTTTACCAGCTAGATAAGTAAATTATTAAGTTTTGTTTTAAGTAAAACCATTGACAATTTTTTTAGTAACAAGTCTATATTCAATCTCCTAGATTGATGTCGTCACTTTCTCCCGCACCAATGGACACCAAAATATAATACAAACTACTTATAATGGAAACTAAACTGTAATAAAATCAATAAATCAAATGTCTTTTCAAAGAAAATTGGCCCCTGAAAACGAATACCTACATTATTCAAATGCAAAGTTATTTATACTTCAGTAACTTACTGAAATTGCTGCTAACCAAGGGAAAACAAATCCCGATTCGAAATGCAAACGTTGATCAAACCAGCGCTCGCTTCTTTAAATCTCGGGGATACAGAGCATCGTTGTTTGCATATTTTCATACTAAATATGTAATAATTGCATGGCTATCCCAAATTGTAAACCCGTCATTTTCAACAAGAGTTGGAACCGTGTATTGAGGGTTCAACTAAAGTACACACTTTATAAGAGATACGCATTTGTTTACCTTTAATTATAAACGGAGGTTCTACCCCTTGAGATAGCCGAGATGGAGGTTCTCGCGAATGCGTAAATTCACTTCTTTTTCTATTTTAGTCAATCCGATTGCTTTAATAGTCATTAAAGCAGCCCTAACTGGAGGACTTGCATGCATAAGATAAATATTTGGAGCGATCTGAAGTCTCGCTTGCTAGTGGTCAAATAATACACACAGAGATTGTTCTAACAATTACGAGTATGTATAGGTACAATACATAAATATGAGGAACTAGTGATTATAATGATAAATTTTCGAAAAAAAAAAAAAAATTCTGCAGCGTCATCTGGTTAAACAGACAAAGTTTATTCACTTGAAAAATACTGTTTTTAAAACTTTAAAGTTTTATCTACAACCGATATCTATTAATCAATAAAGCTTTATTAGAGTAAAGTCATAAGCTCTAGATATATGTAGATGCCTTTAGCACACCTCCACAGTATTTGGTCAACGGATTCCTATTATGAATAAACAGTTTAATAAAAACAATATTAATTAAAAAAGACTAGATACCATATTTTAGTTTACTCATTTGAATTGCGCAAAAGAGATGTTGCTGTTGCAAGTTATTTTAGATAAAGGTACCTCTCTTCTTTTATAACATCATTGATAAGAAAATACAACAAACATTTTTTAGACAAATTAGATTACACAAATACCAAAGAAACAAACGGCAGTTTGCAAGCCATACATATCTATTTACAGACGATATGAAATGAAAGAAGACGAGTGCTTCACGCATTTTAAATTGTTAGTAATTAGCGGATTAATCTCGTCATAGTAAAAATTACACTACACTGGGGTCTCAGCCTATAACAGCTACTTATATCTATCAACTACAAACATTAATATTTTTATTATAACACTTTTATTATAACACTATAATTAGTGAGTTCGGGTAACTTAAAAAAAAAAAGAACTACAAATCACACACTTTATATCATTTATTTCAAAAATAATGAGTATTATGACAATTTACTTTTAAATAAAGTAGCAAAATCTGCCAAACCTTTTACATTAGCAGCATACTCCGGTCGTGCTTCCATTCGTTTCAACCATGCAATCACATTCGGATATTTTTGTGCATCAATGGGAATTAGTATATTCAAACTACTGATCGATGACACTAAACTGTAGTCAGCTACACTGATAAAATCACCCGCAACCCATTGCTTCCCATTGAGAAAAACATCTAAAAATCCATAAGCTTCCAAAATATTATCTCTATCTTTTGGATCTATTGTGGTCTTGCCTTCGAAAAGTATCGGTCTCTATATAACAATAAATTAAGTAATAAAACACTTTATTTGCCATATTGTACCCACAGTGATTCTCAATAGTCGAGCAAAGACAGTTCCCGACTCAAAATGCAACCTTTGATCTACCACTGCCCTTTTTTTTACGTCCTTAGGATACAAAGCATCATTTTTGGCATATTTTGAAACTAAGTATGTGATAATCGCATGACTGTCCCAAATAGCAAAACCATCATCATCAACAAGTGTGGGAACAGTATGTTGAGGATTAAGCTAAAAAAACACCTACTTTATTATGAAAAAATAAGAAAAAAACTAGTCTTACCTTCAAGAAGTCCGGCTTAAGATGGTCGCCACCAAAAAGGTTAATTTCGTTTTCGTTTAAAGTTAATCCTATGGCTTTAGCCGTTATTAGAACAGCTCTTACTGGAGGACTACCGTAAATTAGATGCAGAGTTGGAGCCATTGCGTGTCTGCTGCTCAAAATACACCCACTAAATGTTGACTTGTCAGTTTATCAACATATTTATAATGTTAGTGTGACTAAAAGTGGGAATGAAACATATTTTCCATAGTCATTTTGATTGCGTAAGGTTGTTCATTCGAGAAGTTGATAAGGACACGCTTAAGTTCATAAGAGTTAGTTTTAACCTGAGTGATTTTTTAGCAAATATAATTTAAAGAGTTTGAGAATTATTTGTGCATCGCAGAATCTAATTATTACCTATTAACCTTGGCCTAATTATTTCATTATGTACCTAATCTATCAACAAGTGTTTCTTCCGCCTCAACTCCAACAACCGCATCATGTGTATTATACACAATATGTTATCACTGATAATTTAATTATTCACATCAATCATCTCATTTTCAAATCAAATGTTCCAAAGCTAGAGGCAACCTGCTATTATCATAAATCATTAAACACCATTGATGTTATTGTAAATACATACAGTTCATCGGTTGTTCATGTGATTAATAATTTTAAGAAATTTATATACGTAGTCCAAATTGTTACACTCAAAATAGCTATTTATGTATCAAGTAGGCAAAATAGAGTTTTAGGGGACGAATCGTAACTAATGAGAGGAGTCACCTAATAAAACCCTTTGCGTACGTGATGCATACAAGATTTTTTTGTTAAAGCTCCCAAAACACGAATTCACACCTCTTACTAATTAAAAAAAATTCGTTACCATAGTAACCAATTTTATTTTTTAGTCCGCAAAAACTGTTTTTGGGGACTAAATACCTAAAATAACCGTTTTGCCTAATATTTTATTGAGTCCGGAAAAGACTTATTTTAGGGACTCAAATGAGTCCCTAAAACAGCTGTTTTCGGGAACGTATACAAAAAAAATTATTGAAAGTGAGGCTACAAAATTGTTCACTCTACTATTATTTTTTCTCTATATTGTTTTTATTACTAGCACATTTGTTTTACTTCTCTTTAATGATATAATGTAAAAAGTCGAAAAGAATAACGGGAGATATTTATGAAAACCAAGTGCGCTAAGGTTCCATATTTTAGTACCTAATAAAATTTTAAATCAGAGCGATATGTAGTAGTACCAGTACGCCATTGACAGCAATTAACATTGTCCCAATTAATGTTTCACTACGTAATACCTCAACAGATGTCTCTTCCTCCTTGACTTAAATCAAAACAATGGTGTCACGTGACAGGTGTGAATGTACACTAACAGTCATCGTTGATGATCTAGGCTAGATGTACACTAACAGTCATCGTTGATGATCTAGGCTAGTCTCACTTCAATACAAAACATTAATCTTAAAAGAGTAAAATGGCCCCAACTTTATATATGGTGTACCCTAGTCCCCCGGTTCGAGCTGTCCTAATTACAGCAAAGGCCATTGGATTGGAATTAGAACTCAAAGAGCTGAACTTGACCGAAGGCGACCATCTGAAACCGGAATTTCTCAAGGTATTTAGTACAAAATAAATTTGTAAATAACACAGTTAGTGGCTGCAAGAAAAATAAATTTTATCATTTTAGATCAATCCCCAACACACAGTACCGACTCTCGTTGAAGAGGACGGTTCCGTTATTTGGGACAGCCACGCGATCATGACATATCTCATATCAAAATATGGACAACACAAAGAATCTCTTTATCCCAAAGAACTCCTCAAACGTGCTATCGTTGACCAAAGACTACACTTCGAATCCGGAATAGCTTTTCCACGAATGCTGCAAATAGCGGTACCTTTACACACCCACATTTTTTGATTTTCTAGTAAGTAACTTATTTTTGTCCCACTAGGGCCCAATAATGCGGAAAGGAAAAACCAGTATAGAACCTGACGACGTAAAATTAGCCCATGAAGTTTACGCCTTTTTGGAAAAATTCCTAGATGGAAAAAAATGGATAGCTGGTAGTCATATAACTGTGGCTGATTATAGTTTAATTAGCACAATTAGTACGTTAGATCTGTTTGTAAGTGTCGAGGAGAACATATTTCCTAAAGTGAAAACATGGATGAAGAAAATGGAATCTTTAGGAGAATATGAAGCGAACAGAAAAGGGTTGGAAATGTCTAGGGAAACTATCGAAAGCAAACTTACAAAGAAGTGATCATTTATTAAGAAAATCTGTTTTATGCACTGAGGGAAATATATCCCCGTTTGATCTGTTAATCTAACAAAAGATTAAGTGACTAACAGAAATCTCGTGATAATACTCATAAAATAACATTATTGCTTTATTATCTAAGTAATTGTGATTCAGCATATTTTTGTAATTTGTTTTTATACAAACACGTAAATAAAGAATATTCGTAAATGGCTGAAAGTAAGCAGTGTGAAAAGAAATAAAAAATATTGGAAATGCGAATACCCAAATTTTAAAAGAAACAATTCTAGTTTTTAATCACAATCCACGAATAAATCAAATTTGATGGTCCCCTCAATAGTTAACGTTCAGTTATCACCGACACTTCATACAGTGAAAATGGCTCCAAAATTGTATATGATCCCGTACAGTCAACCAGTTCGAGCTACTTTGATGACAATTAAGGCTTTGAATCTTGATGTTGAACTAGTTGAAGTAAATTTATTAAACAGGGAGCAATTTTCATCAAATTACACAAAGGTGAGACAAAAATCAGTTAATATTAACAAATTACCTAATACAATATTTATACAACCAGTTATGCACACACAAATTTCTAGTTGAATCCTCAACACTCTGTCCCAACTTTAGTTGAAGAGGATGGTTTTGTGTTATGGGATAGTCATGCCATTATGGCTTATCTAGTAGATAAATATGGCAAAGACGATTCCCTTTACCCCAAAGAATTGCAAGCGCGAGCTATAGTCACCCAAAGGTTGCATTTTGAAAATGGTATTCTTTTTCCTAGGACCATGGACATAATTGTAAGTAATTGAAGTTATTTTGCAAAGGTGATAACTAAGAATTGAAATTTTAAGCGCCCTGTTATTTATCAAGGGGTGAAAACTGTTTCATCGGCTCAAATAGAAGCAGTAAAGGAAGCGTACAATTTTTTGGAGAAGTTTTTAGAAGGTAACGAATGGGTTGCTGGAAAATCTGTGACTGTTGCCGACTTCAGCATAATTTCTTCAATTACTACAATGGATGTTGTGGTTCCAATTGATGCAAAAGCGTACCCAAACATTTATTCTTGGATCAAACGTTGCGAGAAATTGCCTTATTATAACCTTAACAAGAAAGGATTGGACGAAATAAGAGTCCTTATTGAACGAAATTTGAAATAAAACATTTATTAATACGCATGTGGTCCTGACAAAAAATAAAACATCATTTGCAAATTGATTTGTCGCATTAAATTTTATTTTAACGAACACAAATTGCCTGCAACAGTAATAAATACTCGCGTAATTTGTCCTGAATTTATTGATTTTGGCCGATGGGAAACACGCGCGTCGATATATTTGTTAATTGGCAGTGAAACTGGATATACCTGAAGTGGACGTTACATTCGAAACGTCGCCCGCCTCCAACATGACTCAGTCAAACATGTAAATTCTTCAAATTATTTTTATGTTTGCAAATCTATTTCAGGTTAAAAAGTAAACAACAGATGTACGAGTTTATTAATATGTGCTTGCTTTTCCGCCAAAGATGATGTTCTGAAACCATTAAAAAATTATTTACATTTTTCATGATCGGATCAAAAATTATGTGAAATTGGTTCATTACCAATTTACACAAATATAAATCTTTCGAAACGTAAAATTATCTCGGTTTCGTAATCACAGTAATATTTTTATCTCCGTCATGGCCGTGATTAGGTGCTTCAGTTCTTCCCTAACCATGGCGCCAATTCTTTACATGCAGCACTTCTCAGGACCCGCAAGGTCAGTACTGTTGACAGCTGCTGCCTTAGGACTGAAACTGCAACACAAAATCGTCGATCTGTCCAAACAAGAACACTTAACTGAAAGTTTTCTTAAGGTTGGTTTACCAGTTCTGTCAAGTCACAATTCACTGCCAAATTTATTTTAGCTAAACCCGCAACACACTATACCCACTCTAGAAGATGATGGTGTTTTTATTTGGGACAGTCATGCGATTAATGCTTACCTAGTAGCAAAATACGGAAAAGATGACTCCCTTTATCCTAAAGATCTGGCCAAAAGAGCTATGGTAGACCAAAGAATGCATTTTGACAGTGGGCTAATTTTCAGCTGGCTAAGGAACATTGCTGTGAGTCCGCTCACAAAAAACGATTATTTAAGTTGTTATTTAATTTTAGAGAGGAGTGAAATACAAGGGGTGTAAATCACTAACCGAGGATCAAATCGAAGGGCTAGAACACGGTTATGAGCATCTGAACACTTTTCTAAAGAACAGTAAATGGGTGACTGGTAATTCAGTTACTATTGCAGACTTTAGCTTAATCGCCAATGTCACCACTCTCAACATTATATATCCTGTTGATAAGTCCCGTTATGGAAATATCAGCAGGTGGTTGAAGGACTCGGAAGCTCTTCCCTACTATGACGTAAATCGCGAGGGTCTGGATCACTTCAAAATGATGATGAAACCCCTGCTGCAATAACGGATGTGTGTGAATATAAAAATGTATAATAATACTTTAAATAAAATAAAATCCCACTAAATTTTTGTCCAGGATGTGAATCCTGAAACCGGTGAAATGCGTGCCCGTCATAAATTTTATTGAGCAAGTTATTTACGTAGCTGTGAAGCACCTGTCTAGGATTTGGAAAAATTTGAAAGAATTGCCTGAGCTTGCCGCAGGTGAAATAAATAGAATATTTTGAGTACGGGCCCGGGTTCGGTTACATAACACCGACAGGTGGGGATCTTTTTAATATTTTTTTTCTCGGATTATAAAAATAGTTAATATTAATCATAAATAAATTTTGAGGGTTTCGGGAGAAGGATGTGAGCCAAAACTCGAAATAAATTTTATTTCATACAAATTCCAGGTTTTTAACGATTTCAAGCGCTCATTGACGTAAATTAAGATCATTTGGAAGGTCGATTAAAATTGTGGTGGAAGGCAACCTAATATTAATTCTAAAACAGTTTTTTAAAACTCTACCGGTATGAATAAAGGAAGGAGGAAACTTAGTACAATAAGAAAGTTTCAAGAAAGAAAAAAGTCCTCAACATACAATGTAGTGCTAATAATGATCTTAATAGAATATTATTAGATCTTTTAACCAGACACTCCACACCAATAAAAGATGCTTAAATTGTTTCAACATGTAAACAAAAAGATACTTTTATAATTTAAGGGTATTCGGCAAAAACATGTTTGCATATAATGCTGTTATCCTACAGTTAAATAAAAATAATTCATTAATTTAAAGTTGTCTTTTTTTAAGTTTCACATGATATTTAATACACGTGTCCAATTATAAATTTTTGAGAATTTTCCAAAATAGAGTAACAAAATTATTAGCTTAAATTAAAGTAATCTATCATGAAAAACTTTTTACATGATCGTTCGGGTTCCATTTGACAGATTATGAAATTCAGCTGTGATCTAATTAGAAACTGGATTTCCTCGTCGACTATTTATATTACGAAAAATTTCGCCTTAAAACTAAAAATAAAATATAAGGTTCCATGTCATATTTATTACACTAGAAATGCATTTATTACAACTAAATATAACATTTATTCGTGATGGATCAATCTTTGTGACTTTAATTGCAAAATCACTAATTAGATAATTAGTCAATCAAGATCTTAATCATCTAAAGCACTAATAATAATATCAGATGAACCACTTGGATGTTTACCAGGACAACTTGATTCAATCACTAAAAGAAAAAAAGAGGCCAATTTTTTTTTGAATAGTACTGCAATAACAAGGTGAAGGCTGGCTATTTATATTTTTAGATCAAAAGTTTTTATTGTGAAAGTAAAATTTTTTAAGTACGCTTCAACAATAGATAATGTTGGATGATGAGTGGTCAACAGCAGTTTGGTCAATAAATTGGAAAATCACAATGTGAAGTGAATTTTTTTGTAAAAATGCCTAATTATTTCAGCACTTGCAAAAACTTTTCATTTTTTATGGTTTGTCACATGCCGCTGGTTCCAAGTTAAAAAAAAATAAAAATTCAGAATACAAATTCAAAAAAATAGACATGTACATACCTACACATTTATTAGTCTTAATTGCTTTCTGAATTACTTTTCAAGTTTCATTTAACGGAATTGAAAATCTAAGAGATGGCCGAATTTCCAGGAATTAATTCTTGCTGCATCATGTATTATTGAGAAACAAGAAAACAAACAAAAGATAAGAATTTTATTTGGAACTAAAAGAACAATGATTATGATTATTCATATTTTTGAAATGATGTATAAGAAGATCCTTAACAAAACGTTAAGTTTATTCGGATTTTAAACAATTATTAATTTGATTATCTGATTTAGCCACAATTATAATATGCTTGGCTCACTTTATAGTTTCTACATAGAACCACATATTACACCTAGAAACTAATATGTAAAATACCATTTTAAAAAAATACAACTACATAATTATCATATTGTGTCGTTATAAGCAAAATAAAAATAAAACCCCTGCAACTTTAACAAGTTATGTAACTCTTATCTAATCTTTTTTTAAATTTATCTTTAATTTATTCTTTTCCTGTCTGTACACTATAATTTTTTCGATATTAATCACCCTCTAAGAAGCACTTTGTATTCATCTTGAATTTATTGAGATGTTTCAGTATCTAACCCAGGAACTGTCTTGTCCTTTGCCAAATTTTTTGAACTTTGTGACAATTATGACAGAGCAAGTTATATACTGATTGTCTACCAAAAAATTCTTGGCCTTCCGCCTAACATTAAAAATTCCTCCCAATAGCTCAAGCTCATACGTAAATTGATGTGATAAGTTCAAATCACTCAATGCTATCACTAAATGGGTCGCAGACTGCGATAACAACAAACTGCTCCTCTCCTCAGTTACTACCATACTGCTAATCGCAATAACAAAAACATTTAACTGCTCTGCTTCGATTGTTTATACCCAGTTCAAAATGCGCCCGAAATTGTACATGAGCGAAATATGTCCATCAGCTAGAGCCGTTGTGTTAACAGCAAAGGTCCTCGAACTCACCCTCGAGCTGAAAGAAGTTTCTTGTGACACAAAGGTAAGACTATAAATCATTCAGAATAGTGGCGAATGTCCAACAGGTTGTTTCTGCACCAATGAATGAAACCATTGTCTTTAAATAACCACCAAAACTATTGTCAGGTATAAATAGATAAAACATTCTATTTTTGTTAAAGTTGAATCAACAATACTCCATCCCTACGTTGGAGGACAGCGGCTACGTCATTTGGGATAGTCATGCTATTATTGCTTTCTTGGTTGGAAAATACGGCAAAGACGACTCATTGTACCCCAGAGACAACCCCAGAAGGTCTATTATTGACGAACGGCTTAGATTTGACTCGGGGGTAGTGTCTTTCTTTACCAAAACGATTCTGGTAGTAATTTGATTGCACTTTTTTTAGTTTCATTACATTAGTTATATTCCAGAACTCATTTCCTTACGAAGACAACGAAAAAACTATCAATGAAATTTATTCATTAGTTGAAGAATTCTGCGACGATAACAATCCCTGGATTGCTGGTGATGAATTAAGCATCGCTGATTTAAGCTTAATCCCTTCCATAACTTCTCTTGACGTTGTGGTCCCCATCGATCAGAAACGGTTCCCCAAATTAACCAGATGGCTAAAGAAAGCCGAAACAATGCCTTTCTTTGAGGCAAACAAGACAGGTCTCTGTAAACTCCGAAGGATTCTGAACCGGTGTTAACGTTAAGGTGCATTTATTTTAACTTTAAGTGATTAATTGTGATATGAGGCTATTAGATTTAAGAGGTTGTTCCAGATATGGATTTTTTATTTGATATATTAATAAATAAAACGATAAAAAGACGTGTAAAATGTGACGCCAGGTGTAATTCATGGATAATTTAACTTGCAGCCTCGCTTTTTTGTCTCAGATAACTATGTTATATCATTGTTTGGACAATGACCAAGACCAATAAGTAGCACAAGATTAGTTTCTAATATGGCGTGCTTAAAATGCGATCTGTTTATCATTTTGCAATTTTGTCACGTGTAGATGTGCAACAAAATCCGGATGATAAGAGTTTTATTTAAGTCATCGGTGTGCTAGAATTAAGTACTTAATCTGAAAAGTTTTCGTTTGACCCCAACTAAACTTAAAATTTATCAGTTGGTATGTGTAATGGATTGAACCCAAACACTTTTATTTTTTTATTTTGCCTTATCTCTTATTAGTATAAAGTGAATTACGTAGTTTTATTAAATACTTGATTGAACTCATCAAACAAAGATACATATTACAGGGTTTTACTTTTTTATTATACAATAAATTCCAATTTATTTTTTACTTCCAATTCAATAGATTTATGCAATAAAACACTCTTCAGTTACTTACAGTACTTGATTTACTTAGGTCATAATTTGAATAGTAGGAAGTTGTTTGTAATAAAGATACACTTTAATATAGTTTCCATATTACCTGCATACGACACAAAATCCCAACCATTCGATAAAAATTTTCGAAAAATCATGTGCATTCAAATTATAAAACTAATAATAGGTAATCTTCGCCTAGCGCTTTTACTAGCGCATAAATTTATAAATACGGTTCAGGTTGTGTTTATAATCAACTAGTAATCATGCCGGCAAATAAACGCCGGTGTTAAAAGTGCTTTTATTGAATAAAATGACAGATATTTTAAGCATTTGGAACACACACTCGTCGCAAACATAAATAGTCCGGAATTCGAACATATCGTTTCCAGTGACCAACCCCGATTTTTTCGTTTACTACATACCAAATTTTTAAAAGCCGTTTCACGGTCGCTATAAATCAAATTCTCTTGGGAATTTTATTAATGCGACAGAGATGTACGATTTACGTTGGATGAATGTTGCTTTGCACACGACACATCTATAAAAATTTTGGGATTAGGTACGGATGATGGATTTTGGAATGGTGTGGAGTAAACAGGTCATATGAAGATTCTATCAGGCTGTATCAGTGGATAGATTTGATTTATTATGAGTACTGTAATACAGGTATTTAAAACCAAAACTTATTAGTTTTTATTTGTCCTTTTGAAACCCTTTACCTTGGTTATTACATAAACGAACTCCATTTATTCGTGCAGAAACAAATTACAGGATATCGAAATTAACACCCTTATTAGGATAGTTAGATTTGCGGACAAATAACGTGCTATATCTGGCAAAAGCAATGTTTTTATATTTACAAGTAGTGTAATATGAAAAAGGTCGTTAGAAGGCCCTTTATTGAAGAACATTATTCGGTTTGTTAAAAATTACATAGAGATCGGGGCGAGTTGTCACAATTTTTACTTGTTAATTAGTGAATGGTTTAGGTTTTACCTTTCTATCATGGAGGATCCTTTAATTTGTTTCTTTGCCCATATTTTTGTACAGTTTTTAAATCATAGCAATGAGTTACTTAGAAAAATAAGTTTTTGACTGGGAAAATTTTTATTTCGCAGTTGGTTGTTGCGAGTTATTTAAACAAAACCCCTAACGGATATTTCAGACAAATCATCCGAAATCTTAAAAGAAAAAAAAATATTTCATTTTTCATTTTTTATGACATTTATTTTTGAATATCTTGTCTGCTTGAAAAATTCAGGTTTCGTTCAGTGAAGCAGTTCCTGTCTGAAAAAGTGTCCACAGCCTGAAAAATGCGGTCTTCGGCGCCATGAACCCATCGAAACGTAAAAATAGAGCACGTACACGCCTATATCGAAGATTTTGCTCGGACATGATTGCAATATTATAAACAAACCGGTGCCAAGCAAGTTAAAATTAAATATTTCCCTCTAGTAGGAGATATGTAGGCTCTCCTCTGGAGTATCCAGTTAGTCTAACGCTCTGCGTGAACCAGTAGTGACTTAAACCATGGCCCCAAGAGTTTTCGTGACCATCGTGAGTCCGGCCGTCCGAGCCACCCTCTTGACCACACACGCTCTAGGAATTAACATTGAACTGGAAGAAATCGATCTGAACAACAAGGAACAGTTCAAGCCCAGCTTCATCAAGGTAGATTTTAAATATGTAGTCGATATTTACATCGCGGCGACAGCCGTCAATCAGCGGCGTTTTTTTCGAGACTGTTGACATGGAGTGGATTAAATGACCGGAAGGAATGAGAATATTTGTTAAATTTAAGTGAGGAGAGTGACCCAATTTCAGTTAGAAATGATGGGTGTCTGTGTAAATAAACATGACGGTTTCAGCGCTGAAAATGCGATTATGTCGGCGAAGGTGTTTATTTTTCAGAAAAATGCGGCGCACTATGTTTTGCACCAGAATTTCGTAAATAATAGTGTTTACGGTTTTCAGCAGTATATTTTTTCAGGTGATAAAATTGTGGCATACCACCTACTTGTTGATTCAATGATAAAAATTCACCGATCACGATTTTTACTATTATGGCAAAAATAAATATACTGAATTATATTCTGAAATTTCAAAACAATATCTTGCTAAAAATACATATAGCCTGCAATGTTTAAGACTGCATGCATTCTGCAGTAAATAGGGACAAAATTATATTCTAAAATTGATTTTATAGTTATATTTCAACTCTTTAATTTTCTTGAAACTAGCTAAAAATAAAATATCAAGAGAAAGACGAGTGTAATACTTTTTTTATCGTTATGTTTCAATTCTTTAATTTTCTTGAAACTAGCTGAAAATAAAATATTAACAAAAAAATACGAGTGTAATACTTTTTCGTAACAACAATGTAAAGGTTTATAATTTAGGTATGTACGAGTGGAAAAGGTAAACCTTCAAAAAGTGGCTGCTATGATATGTTATTTAATTTAGTAGTTTTAAAACTCATGCAACACAGAGTTGCCTTAAAGTAGTGCATTTTTGGTAACGTTAATCGTAGATTTCTTTCAAACCTTTCTCTTGTGCCGTAAGAACCATCATAAACCTTTACTTGTATCGCACATTTACTATCTTATGCGACATAATACCTAATGTTCAGTTTGATGATTTTTTTTATTGTACAGCTGTTATTAGACCAAATATTAAAAAATATCTTTTTTATTTTAAGTATTTCTACAAGTACCTCTAAGACGTGGTAAGTACGTAAACTGGTATGGCACACGTAAATAAAAGTTACAATCATCACATAATTTGTAATTTCATTCTGAAATAATGAGTAACATTTCTGTTACTAAAAATATATCAAAACACAAAACTTCGTCTCAATTTAGAGTTAACACATAGTTTTGCCCAACAATGTTTTTAAACGTGTTAAAATGATATCTTCACACTCTATGAAGCCTATTCCACGTCTGCCTAAAAAATAGAACTCTTATTGAATTAAAAATAGAATTTTTATTGATTGCTTATACATATTATTTTTGTCTTTATTTTCACATTTACTTCTGTCGCTTCTTGTTAAAACACTATTTTCACCTGCTCATGTTTATGTGAATCGAGATGTCCACATGTTATTTTTGATAGGTAGTTTGGCGCTCTCCTAACTAAAACTCACATAAATCGTTTTGCATTTACGCAATACCTTAACAGCTTGTTTGCACCTCTTTAAAAATCGACATCTGCTCTTCAATTTTTGATAACACAGCTGTAACTCACTAAATGATTTAATTTACAGGTTTAGCGCTACTACCGAAATAAACCCTACTCCGTTTATCCTGGATGATTTACGAGGTGCTTTTTCATGCTGCAACTAAAAATGCAGCAATGTTAAAAAGTCGACGGAATCTCTTCTATTTTTAATCACATCTAAATGAAAAAAAAGCGAAAGAATTACGATTCTGACGCAAAAAATGTCCTAATTAATCCTAATTATAGTTATCGAATTTTTATTGATTCGGACAAATTTGAAGTAGTATCATTTCAGACGTAAACGAATTTTCGGGTTTATTTTTAAGTTGGGTTTGTTTACAGTTTGAATTTCACATATTGTAAACAGTACAAAAAATAACAGATATATCACACTGCATTGTTGTTGTTAATATGCCAAAATGCCAAATAAAACATTACGTTGAGTGCTAAAGAATTAAATTTCACAGTGTTATTTATAATTGAGTAAATTGGCTTTAAGCAAAAAATATCATTCATTAAGTAGCACCGTGCGTCGAACACTTTGACTTGGCACAGTGTCAAATCAAATTATGGAAACAAATTTCAACTTAGTCTCACGCTAACGTGTATTTCAGATCAATCCTCAACATACCGTACCCACTTTGCAAGATGACGACGATTTTGTCGTCTGGGACAGTCACGTGATCAATGGGTATTTGGTAGACAAGTATGGAGGAATCGATGACTCGCTCTATCCTACCGATATGCAAGAAAGAGCCAAAGTCAACCAAAAACTGCACTTTGACACCGAATTCGCGCTGCTCAGTTCCAGAATTATAGTAGGTTGTTATTGCGAAAAAAACTGGAAAATAATTGTCCTTTTTTGCAGAAAGGGATCCTCCATGGAGGTAAGAAAAGCGCCCCCCAAGAACAAGTGGATGAAATTATTGAACGTTACGACTTTTTGGAGAAATTCTTGACAGTCAACACCTTCGTAGCGTTAGGGCAAATGACCATCGCCGACTTCAGTTTAGTTGCCACAGTGTCAACCATTGATATTATTGTGCCCATCGACGCAAAAAAATACCCCAAAATCACCGCGTGGATAAAGAAAATGCAAGCTCTCCCCTATTACGCCGCCAACAAAAACGGTCTCGACAAAATCAGAAACCAAATCGCGGCGGCTTTGGAGGGCTGACCTGGACCAATCACATACTAATAATCTACTTTTTTGAATGTTATTGCTTGTTTTTATGTAGACTTTAAATAATAAACATTCTCGAGAGTGTACTTGTTGATTATTGAAATTGGTTTATTGTGACTAGCATTCATGACAAAATTACGATTCGGGAGTTGGGAGCATCTCCTTGAACTTTGCCAAGCCTTCAGCATTACATTCGTCGAAAAACGGCAACTCCTTTCCGGTTTTCAACCAATCGAATAATTGAGGAAAGCGATCTGCCTCTACAGGGATAAAGAGGTCGGCAGACGCCAAAGTCGCAAGGACGCTAAGGTCAGCTACTGTCATTTCGTCGCCAGCAAGCCAAGGATGGCCATTGAGGAACTCTTCCAAGAAGCCGTAAGCTTCAAGCAATTTGTCGCGGTCATCCTCAGAAATGTCACCAATACCAGAAAAAAGAATATGCTGAAAAATAAAACAGTACGGTTTTAAACGAACCCACACATGTAGTTATAGTTTGTATAATATTTTTTTTAACTTTATTTTAAAATTTTAATGTGGAAGATTGTACGTAAAATTACCTACCTCGTAAATTAAAAATATGAATTTTAAAAAGTTTAATTCGCCCTAATTTGCCACGAGTTTGCGTTGGAAAAAGTGAAACAGTTATCAGCAAGACTATTAATTTTCATTGGCATTAACATGTTTTCTAGGACTCATCAGCGGTGACAATTCTGACGCAAGTCCTTGGAGTACTTATTTACATTAAATTCCACCCAAATGATTCACACAGTCATTATATTTAAAATGCAATGGCGTAGAAACACTAAATCATGCATAGTCAAATTTACGGACCTACCTAACATAAAAAATAATGAGTATTGAACAATAAAATTACCTAAACCAAAACTATTGATTTTGTAATCAGCTTAAACACAAACAAAAGTGTGGCCACGCACGTAAATTTAATTCTCTAGAGAACTTTTTTAATCACTTTGTGTTATATTTTCGTTACCAAATTTTAAATTTGCATTTATTCCGAACTTACGGCAACAGCGCGACATCTCTCGTAGAGTACCCCATTTTCGAAGTGCAGCCTCTGATCAATAATCGCCCGTTTGCGAATATCGCCTTTAGGATAAAGGGTGTCGTCCTCGGCGTACTGACCTACCAGATACCCTGCAATAGCATGACTATCCCAAACAACAAAATCCTCGTCTACTAAAATAGGAACGGTGTGTTGGGGGTTCAGCTGCGAAAAAATGTTTTAGGTCGAAAATTTCATACTTTGTGCAAATTACCTCCAGCATCTCGGGCGTCTTCAAAGCTTCCCTTTCGACCTCCTCGATGTCAAGTTCAAGACCGATGGCCTTGGCAACCATCATAACAGCCCTACAGGGAGGACTAACCTGCATGATGTATAGCTTAGGTGCCATCTTTGCACTTTGTGTTTTCAACGAAAGCTTGAATGTTACTGACAGATCCTTGAAAGGACAAAGCTTAACGTTTGTTGGGTGGGCGATCGAATTTGTAAAACTAGGTCACGCTTAGGTTGTTTTTTCTAGCCATGGATTAATGGGAATCGATAAGAAGGACGTATCGTGTCAAAAAAAAGGTGAAATTAAGTGCCAGGTTCTTAATATTAACTAGAAGGTGAAAAACAATAGCAAGTAGGATATAAAATTTTAGTATTTCTGTATTTCTTCTTTCATCAATAAAAAGTATAAACGTTTAAATTGAAGGTGTATTCAAAGAGAATGAACTCATGAAAGTGTATAAATTTATTATTAAAAAAACTATTTCTACATAAAGCATCCATGCACTCTCCCTAAATGTTTTTGCAGATCCTGTTTGTAATAAAAACTGGCCTTACACAGATTACATTTGAGGTGTTTTTCTTTGCCACACTCAACAGTCATATGTCGCCTCAGATTCCTTTTTAAGGTATAAGATTTGAAACATTTTTCACACATGTAGCGGTCTGAAATAGTTTCAAATTAAAGTCAGTTCGTCCCAAACGCAAAACAATGAAATAAAAATAGACAATTATTTTCAAACTCGTTTATAACTTTATACATTAATGTCAGGATGTACACACATCATATGTTTAAATAGACTGGCTTTATGTTTAGCCCTGTAGCAACAATGAGTACATTTAAATTTCGGTTCTTTTTGACACTCATACTTTTGATGGCGCCACAAGGATCTCGCAACTTTATATCTTCTTCCGCAAGTGAGACACTCGTAGGATCCTGAAAATGGCAGGTATTAGAAGCTCTCAATACCAGAAAATTTGTGTCTGTTGGCAATATGTGACAAAAGACTCGATCTGTATTTAGTTCGATGACCACATTTTTCACACTTGTATTTTGGTTCTTTCTGACATTCATGTCTCATGTGACGTCTTAAACTGGAGTCATTCTTATACGATCTCTTGCAGATCTTGCACTTATATCTTCCGCCTAAAATAAGACCATCCGTAAAAACTGTATGCAGTATGCAACCTGTAATAAAATTGATAACTACTGGTTTTCAAAATAACATGTTTAAAACAAGAAATAATATTTTTATTAAAGTGTCTGTAACATAAAATGTCAGTTTTTACACAGGGATTCTCTCTTTAAATGTCTAGACATGTGCTGTTTCAAATTACACTTAACTTTTGACACAAACTTGCAATTTGGTATACTACATCTGAAGAGTGGCTCTTTTCCACACTCAAATTTTCTATGTCTACTTAAAGATTGTGAATGTCTATACGAACGATAACACCTGTTACATCTGAAACGTGACCCTAAAAAAAGGAACATTATCAGAACAAAAAACGGTAAGAGGAAAATAGAGTAAAAGAAAACACCATTTTGATTGCAACACAACTTTATTTTGGTTGTTTTTTTAATTCATGACGTTTAAGGTGCGCTGTTAAATTTCCCTTGACTTTAGTGACAAAAGAACAGCCTGTGTACTGGCAACCGAATTTTGGCTTCTTTTCGCATTCAAATCTCTTGTGTTTATACAAAGACGATGAATGTTTGTACGATCGAAAACACACGTTGCATGTAAACTTTCTGACCAAATCTACAAATAATGTTCAATGAGAAACTTTAAATAAATCTTTTTATATTTAAAGATAATGTTATGAAACATTTTAACAAAATATGAATTAACATTGCCATTCCCTAAATAAATTATTGCTCTTAACTTGATCTTAACCTTAACATTAAATACTAAAATAAATTCAACTGTACAAAATTAATATAATAGAACACCACTGTATATAAAAATTGTATGTACTTTACGACGCATATAAAAATATACAAATTTTTACAAAGTAACATCGGTTTTAAGGTCCCTGGGAAAGTCTTCTTTTTTTCCGAAAATAGTTATCGCTCTAATAATATCCGATTTTTGTAAAACATTGTGCTTTCGTGAAAGATGCCGCTCTACGTGTGTCTTCTGGTATCCCCTATATGGACATATAGAACATCCAAACATCGGCAATTTCCCACACTCGTACTTCATATGTCTCGCCATGGTTGACTTCTTCGCATAAGTTCTCCAACAGTTTCGGCAAGCATATTCTTTGTTGTCGAATATGAAAAAACCTAAAACAATCGACGTTATATAAAAGGCAAAACAATTGTGTTAAGTGCATGGTAACACCTTCACCCTGTGTTAAAAACTACAATAGTACACTATTTCAAAGAAATGATTTATTCTTATATATTACATGTTAAGTTAGAACTGTTTTTTTCGGAAATGTTGTTCAAATGTTTAAAAGACGACATATGTTCCTTTAGTGAATCTTTACGGTGGGTTTTGAAATTACAAGGATGACAAGTAAAAGTCGGTTTCTTGTGGCAGATGAAGTCGAGGTGACGTTTCAAATGCGTTTTATGTTTGTAGGATCTATGACATTTGGGACAAGGATATCTCGCGGAAAATTCTGAAAAAAGAAAAAGCCACTATAGACGCTTATCAAACTTTGGCCCAAAAAGAAACTTCTACAAGCACAAGCTACAATTTCTTCAGGTTTGTATAAATTGTGACGTGAAACAAAGAACTCTTTAATTATCTGAAAACTGTAGAAACAATAAATTTCAACGGTAATAACATACAGCTACAGAGTATAATGTGAACTAAGTAGGATGCTTATTTTCAACATGTTTGAGTAAAGCTCTCTCTTGCATAAACTTGACACCGCAAAAATTACATGAAAACCTGAAATTCTTTCCACATTCTTTCTTCAAATGGCGCCACAAACTCGGATAATGTTTGTAGGATCTTCCGCACACTTCACAATGATGTCGTTCTTCTTCGCCTAAAAAGGTACTGATTGAAGAAAGTATACTTTGTATTTTCCGAAAACAAAAACACGATTCATAATCTTAGTTTTATTTATTAGTGTATTACAATATTACTTATACACATATTAGACTCTGGATGTTTACTTATTATATGTCGACTAAGATGAAATTTCCTTTTAAACTTTCTACAACACAAAGTGCATTCAAACTGCGGCTCTATCCCACATTCGTAATTCAAATGCCGTCGAAGTGTCTCTGGATTCTTGTAGCTTTTCGGACAACGACTACATCGAAAAATTCGTTCCATTTCTGAAAACACCTCAACTTTTAATACTATCGCTAATATCAAACTCTCAACGGATAGCGCGTGCAAAGACAATCTAATTTAAAAATCATTACTTTTATTGGACGTTTTAAGTAGGAAATACACTTCACATAAATTTAAATGTAAAACAAGGTTTTGTAAAGATCTTTATATATTGATTCGAATTCACTTAGTCGCTCTGGGTGACGTCTCCTGACGTGCTTTTTTAAATCATACTTTTGCTTCATAGCCTTCAAACAGTAAATGCATTTAAACTTCTGTTCTGGACCACATTCGTACCTAGTGTGACGCATAAGAGATCCTTTGTTTTTATAGCCTCTACCACACGCCATGCATTGAAATTCTGAAATAAATGTTGTAAGTTTACCAAACACACTGTTTCTCTTTTTACTAATAACTTACACTAGCATGAACTTCAAAAAGTAGAAAACAGTAAGTTTGGGTGTGACAAAGTACGAAACTGAATGGAGTTATTAGATAACTTCCTCTTTAAGTCAACGGTGCTATCAAGATTAAAATGTTCATTCTTTTAGCTCTAATAAGTAAAAATATCAAATTTCAATTAACACTTTATTAAAAATTTAAATCCAATCAAAACAGAATAAGACAAAATGATATCAAGGTAAACTGTGTTTTACTCCAATATGTGACTTAAGCGATGAGTTCTGAGTGAATCTTTTCCCACACAATTTGCACAGAAATTGTGGATCTTTACCACATTCATGCTTTATGTGTCGCCATAAACTTGCATAATGCTTGTACGTTTTCAAACAGAATCGGCAAATATATAATGATCTTTTACCACCTAAAACATAAAAGAATTAAAAAGTGCTAAACCAAAAAAAAAAAAAAAATTTTATTTTTACAAATTATCAAAAATCAATTAAAAAAAGAGTATTAATTCAAAATTTAATCCTTATTGCTATCACAAACCAAAAGCCCTCAAATAATTTTACAAAAATCTATATTTGCTTCGTTATCTTCACTTCCTCTTTTCTTTAATAGTTGTATGTTGTGCTATAATATGCCTTTCTAAATCCGCTTTTCGTTTAGCTTGGTACTGACAAAAATTACAATGAATTGTTGGTAGTTTACCACAATAGAACTTTTTGTGGTTGTATAATGATCCTTTGTGTTTGTAATTCTTGCCGCAAATGCCACAAACCAATGGACCTGGAAATTTACCAAAACTAAGTGTTATGTTTAAAACTGTACTACTAAGCACTTTAAATTATATAAAAAGTTGTTAAAACCAAATATTTTATTTGCTGTTTCAAATACCATATAATTATAAATACAAATTAGTAAAAAATATACTACATAAGGAAGATTTAAGTGGAGACCATTCTGATGAGTTTTTTGTGCGAATTCGCCATTCGAGTCTTGGCAAATTTAAGCCATACTTTTACCGAATTGGCAACAGCCAAATCATTTTTTTCGCCCCTCGAAAAATTAATTTTTGCTGCCTCTGTAACCAAGCAATCAAAAACAGTTTCTCTTATTCTTATGCATTACCATAGATGACATTCATCACTGTTGTTTGTTCAAAAGACAATTTGTCTCTTCCTTTCCAATTGTATAAAATCGCCACTTCGTTACTAAGCAAAAATTTCATTATTCTTCGCGTTAAGGATTCCACACCTGATCCTCCCACAGCTGCCAACCTCGAAATCTATAACAGTCTTGTCTTAGATCTTACCTTGAATTCAAAAATTTTAAAAATTTACCATGTAGTCTTTCAAAGCCTGATTTTGCTCCAACCGTATATTAAAATCTTGAAATTCTTCTAAAGTCTGAATTGGAAACTTAGGTACTTCCTCTGGTGAAACTGAGACGTCCTGATGCACACGACGACTAGTTCTTAACAATTCGTTTAGAATTAAGGAGTGCTGAACCAAGTACTCGAGAACAGTTTTTTTAAACCCTGAAAAAAATCACTTCCGAATATGATCGAACAGTATTTGAAAAGTCTATAAACAAAACAATCTCCAAAAACATTGTTAATACATTAAAAAGAGGCAATGTGGGTATGTAAAAGTTTGCATGGTGAACAAAATCTTTTTGTTGGTTTGATAGTCCTTTGCATTCTGTTGCTTCCAGCTTGCAACAGGAGTGGCAAGAATGTAGAACTTCTAAAACAAAACCAATAGTGACCTGAAATAATTTTGT